CAGTCTCAACGTCAACAGTGAAGAGGCAACTCCGGGATGCTGACCTTCTAGGCAGAGTTGCAAAGAAAAAGCCATATCTCAGACTGCCCATCTTAATCTTTTCTTTTTATTGGCCAGTCTGAGATATGGCTTTTTCTTTGCAACTCTGCCTAGAAGGTCAGCATCCTGGAGTCGCCTCTTCACTGTTGACATTGAGACTGGTGTTATGTGGGTACTATTTAATGAAGCTGCCAGTTGAGGACCTGTGAGGCACCTGTTCTCAAACTAGACACTAATGTATTTGTCCTCTTGCTCAGTTGTGCCCGGGGCCTCCCACTCCTCTTTCTATTCTGGTTATAGCCAGTTTACGCTGTTCTGGGAAGGGAGTAGTACACAGCATACTAGAAGGCCAGTTTTATTGCTTCTTTAATCAGCACAACAGTTTTCAGCTGTGCTAACATAATTGCAAAAGGGTTTTCTAATGATCAATTAGCCTTTTAAAATGATAAACTTGGATTAGCAAACACAACGTGCCATTGGAACACAGGACTGATGGTTGCTGATAATGGGCCTCTGTACGCCTATGTAGATATTCCATTAACAATCAGCTGTTTCCAGCTACAATAGCCATTTACAACATTAACAATGTCTACACTGTATTTCTGATCAATTTGATGTTATTTTAATGGACAAAAAATTTGCTTTTCTTTTGAAAAAATGACATTTCTAAGTGATCCCAAACTTTTGAACGGTAGTGTATATCTGACCAAATTATGAAAGACAAGCATTGTAATTTTGAATTCTGTAAAGTGAGTGTGGAAGAGGTGAAAAAATGATTGTTGTCTATTAACAATGACAAGCCAACAAGTCTGACAACTTGGATGGAAAATTACTGAGGATAATAGTGGACGATATTGCCACCCTTATTTGCCAGGGAAGCAAAAGTCATTCCGCTACCTAAGAATGGTAAAGCCCCCTTTACTGGCTCAAATAGCCGACCAATTAGCCTGTTACCAACCCTTAGTAAACTATTGGAAAAAATTGTGTTTGACCAGATACAATGCTATTTTGCAGTAAACAAATTGACAACAAACTTTCAGCATGCTTATAGAGAAGGACATTCAACAAGCACAACAATTACACAAATGACTGATGATTGGCTGAGAGAAATTGATGAAAAAAAGATTGTGGGGGCTGTTTTGTTAGACTTCAGTGTGGCTTTTGACATTATCGATCATAGTCTGCTGCTGGAAAAATGTATGTGTTATGGCTTTACACCCCCTGCTATAATGTGGATAAGAGTTATTTGTCTAACAGAACACAGAGGGTGTTCTTTAATGGAAGTCTCTCAAACTTAATCCAGGTAGAATCAGGAATTCCCCAGGGCAGCTGTCTAGGCCCCTTAACAACACTATCAACAAGGCAGGTCCTACAGGCCCTAGTTTCTTCGCACCTAGACTACTGTTCAGTAGTGTGGTCAGGTGCCACAAAGAGGGACTTGGGAAAATTGCAGTTGGCTCAGAACAAGGCAGCACGGCCGGCCCTTAAAAGTACACAGAGAGCTAACATTTATTTACATTTTAGTCATTTAGCAGATGCTCTTATCCAGAGCGACTTACAGTTAGTGAGTGCATACATTTTCATACTGGCCCCCCCGTGGGAAACGAACCCACAACCCTGGCGTTACAAGCGCCTTGCTCTACCAACTGAGCTACAGGGGACTACATGCATGTCAGTCTCTCCTGGCTTAGAGTGGAAGAGAGATTGACTTCATCACTGCTTGTTTTTGTAAGAGGTGTTGACAAGCTGAATGTACCGAGCTGTCTGTTTGGAATACTGCCACACAGCTTGGACACCCATGCATACCCCACAAGACATGTCACCAGAGGTCTCTTCACAGTTCCCAAGTCCAGAACAGACTATGGGAGGCGCACAGTACTTCCTAGAGCCATGACTACATGAAACTCTATTCCACATCAGGTAACTGATGCAAGCAGTAGAATCAGATTTTAAAAAACAGGTACAAATATACCTTATGGAACAACGGGGACTGTGAAGAGACACACACAAAAGTATAGACACATTGTGATATTGTTGTATGGTGGTATTAAACATTTTGTATTGTAAATAGGTAGTGGTGTAATAATGTTATATGATGTACTGTTTTACATTTTGTTTTATATGTAAGTGTTTTAATATGTTTGGACCCCAGGAAGAGTAGCTGCTGCTTTGGCAGCAGCTAATGGGGATCCCTAATAAATACAAATAAACACAAAATACAAATTTGATTTGGAATTTTAGGACCCATGTAAAAAAAAAAGGGGGGGGATAAAACATTGAATTTGGCCTTACTGCTATTTTTTAAGTGTCTGTCCTATATCTGAGAGATGTAAGAAAGCTCAGGAAAAAAATGCTAATAATTTTTATAGTGGAATTACCTGTATACATTTTGACATTCATTTTTTGGCCTGGTACCGGGTTACCTTCAGTCGGAGAACACCATCATGTTCGTGAGTCTCATCTTTCCATAGATGGGTCAAAGTCATTTGTACTCCAAACTGTTTGGACACTACAGACGTTTTCGTGAGAAGACAGATTTTCGAGATGTGTCCTGGTCTGACAAACACCGCTGTAGCTCTGCCACCTTCCACCGCAACAGACATCTCTAGCTTAGACAGACAGATTTTGATGGGAATTTTTATTTTTTATTATGCCTCGAGCGGAGAATGGGGGGGGCCTCAAGTGGATAAATTATTTTCATATTTGTTATGCCCAGCTCGAGGCCCCTTGATGATGTGAGACCTGAGGCAATTACCTCTTCCGCCTAATGGTAAGTCCGCCAGTGGGAGAGACTGCAATCCCTTTATATCTGACATACAGTACAGTATACTAGTCATGTCAAGCTTGAAAATCAATCCATTACTACCCCCTCGCTTCATCTCATACTGTTTCTAAACCTTTTCATGAAAACTATGTTTGGAAAGCCAGTTACAACTTAAAGCATTAGTAGAATGTTTTAAAATAATTTATTAGGAATTGTAAAAAATTGAAAAAGAGGGTTACAGTGTTGACAAGAACGTTACCTTTCAGAGTGAGCACAGAGTCCAAAGGCTGCAACACCATGGCAATCAATCAGCAGGCTTAGAAAAAAATATCAAAATCTATAACTTGGTGATAGAAATTGACAGCGCCTCTTGTTCTTAAACTAACCATAAAATTAAAACACTTTATTTAACCTCCCATTGCAAAAACGTAAAAAATGTTTACAAAATGATTGCTGTCTCTTAAAAAAGTATATAGCTTCTTATGAGTTTCATGGCTCCAGTCTGTGTCATCCAGTAGATAGATATACATTGTATCTGTCAGTGTGGAGAAGGGGGTTGAGGAGAAATACATACAATCTCATCATGGAAGAGCCTCAGGACCACCTCTGAGAGTGTTAATTTAGCACTGAAATGAATGAATGAATCCCCTCCACACATCGACAGAGACAAGGAAGTTCATTAACAAACCAAAATGGCGGTTATAAATTCACATTTGCCACCAATGTATCCATTCCCTGACAATACATTTCACACCTGATGCCAATAAGTGTGACCACATAGCCATACAATACACACACACATAAACACACAAACGCGCAGTCACACGCATCAACACAATTTGTGAAATCGTACCATCGTGAAACTGTTTTACGGCTGTTCCTGCATGTTTGTCCTTCATTTTCCTTTACAACCATTACATATTCAAAATTATAATTCTAAAACAACAATAAAATAAGTTCAAAGTAATGAGGAAAGAAACAGCTTGTTTTAGGCCTACTCATATAAGAGGAGTATCCCCACACCTGCATCGCCCACATTTATGTAACATCTCAAGCTTTCTCTCTCCCAGTGCTGATAACAGGGGTTCCTGGGTGAATTCACAGTATAGGAGCAAACCCTTTCACTCTGACAGACCTGGACCAGTCTCACAACTCAGATAGCTAAAGATTATGAATCACACAAATACACTATGATACTATGATATGTAACAGTCTGGGTGCCCAACACCGAACAGTGTGAATGAAAGTACAAAACCATCTGCTGAAAACAAATACCATCACTGCCTTCCCAATACCCCTAATTTTTTGCAGAATCCAAAAGACAGATATATTTACAATATTTTACAAAAACAGACATCACACAGTTCAATCTGACTGGAAATAGGCTCATGACTATCAATTTTGTTACTTTTACCATTATTAGTATAACAAATGTTTGTTAAAAACCTACCAAGATATACATTTTTCAAATTTGTAATACATAAAAAAAATTGTATTAATCAGCAATGTTCTGTTAAAAATCAGTATGTACTAAAATATAAATATACACTTATTCAGTACAAATTATTTCTCCAGTCCTTCACATATTTCGTACCTGGAGATCACTTTTTCTCCCTCACCGCCTCTCAATAAAACACCTTCTTCTGACAAAATAATCAAATGAATAAAAAAACTAAACAAAGAATTAAGACATATGAGATTACATTACAATCTTCACAAAACAGTCAAAAGAAATAAGACACAATAAAAAAGTAACTAGAATTTTCAGCATGTTTTTCTAATACAAGCAGAAACATATATATTTTTAAAGGTTGTTGTTCCTTTCTGCTAACTACAGTAACATGTTAGACAGGAGGTGATGTAAAGACAGAACACAGGAAGTCTGAAGAAGAGAGATCCTCAGTGGGAGGAGGGGCGGGGACATCAGGGGTCAAGGGTCAGTGTTCCCACTGCAGCTGCAGGGTCACACGGCCAGAGAGGAGTAACCATACAGAGACATGTCAGACCAGTTCAAAGCAGCTTCAACTCTTTCCATCTCTCAGTTCACAGCTCTGCAGAGAAATAGAGACCATTTTCATGCTTCTATAGGCAACATTATATTGTTACAATAAATGTACAGTAAATTAGAGTGATTTATTTGAATGGAACTCTTCTGAGTATGTGATGCTGTGAGCGGTGTAGTGGCAGACTCACTCTCTCAGTGGTAGCCGTTAGTGAAGGCCGCAGCGATCAGAGGACCCTGTAGGAAGCAGTCAGACACACAGGAGAGATTAGAGGGAGCGCCCATCATATCACACTCAACAATACAATAACACAACCCTCACCAAATGTGCCAGCAAAATCTGTCAAAATGGACAGTAGATTACCCAAGAGCATCATTTCTTGTTCATTTGACTTGATTTAACAGTTGACAGACAATTCTATCCTCATAACAGACCCCCTCAATGTAAATACGGTCATAACACAGGATTGGACACTATTGCATGATGGATCTATGAACACGTGCCAAGATCAACATCTTAGGAGCACTGCTATATAGCATAGATAGTCTTCCTATGACAAACTGAACAGATAGTATGCAGACACCTTTTGCATTTCCAAACATGAATAGGGTCTAAAATACCTACGTGATAAGGGCTGTGTCTTACCCCCAGACTATGGCCGAACCCAGTGCTTGGGGAGGGGCTTGCAGCGCTGAGGTAACTGCTGACAGCAGACTCCTGATTGGCTGCTGCATATAAGTCTGCCATTGGCCCAGGGCTGTTGAACCCCCCCGAGCGAGAGGGGACGGAGCCTAAAATAACATATACAGATGCAAATAAGTAGACCCACACATCATTAGGTACACAGGAGAAATACTGTACAACAAATTGGCAATCATTTCTCAACCCATCATACATACATACCTCTAGCTACCGCTGCTGCCGCCACTGCCATTGGTCCATATGCCGACAGAGGAATGGCTGACAGGGAAGAGGAGATTTTTATCATTATCATTGACATCATGTCCAACTCTAACATATGGGGCTACATTACACTGACGAGTGCAAACCCACGACTGTGTGGTGTGTAATTACTGTGTAATAACTGGTGTCACTGTTTAATAACTGGTGTGTAGCACAGTAAAGGGGTGTGTAGCAGACTGACAGCATGCTGCTTGTAAAGTCCAGAGGAGGGACTGACCTGTGAGCTCAGGGGGGTGTGGTGATGTCAGAAGGGGGGTCCTCTCTAAATGGAATTCTAGAACAGAAACATCAGAGAGTGCTGTTGAAACACACCACACCAGCGAGGTAAGGGACACACTCATCCGTACACACACACACACTGGCAGAGAACATACAACTAGGGTGACACCATGATAAGAAATAGACCACACTATCTACCAAGAGAGTTCTCATCTATATTATTCGTAGTCGTCTATTTACCACCACAAACCGATGCTGGCACTAATACCGCACTCAACAAGCTGTATAAGGCCATAAGCAAACAAGAAAATGCTCATCCAGAAACGGCGCTGCTAGTGGCCGGGGACTTTAATGCAGGCAAACAAATCTGTTTTACCTCAATTCTACCAGCATGTCACATGTGCAACCAGAGGAAATAAAACTCTAGACCATCTTTACACCACACACAGAGATGCATACAAAGCTCTCTCTCGCCCCCCATTTGGCAAATCTGACCATAATTCTATCCTCCTGATTCCTGCTTACAAGCAAAAACTAAAGCAGGACTCGCTCAATACGGAAGTGGTCAGATGACGCGGATGCTACGCTACAGGACTGTTTTGCTAGCCCAGACTGGAATATGTTCTGGGATTCATCCAACGGCATTGAGGAGTATACCACCTCAGTCACCGGCTTCATCAATAAGTGACTGTACGTACATTTCCCAACCAGAAGCCATGGATTACAAGCAACATCTGCACCGAGCTAAAGGCTAGAGCTGCCGCTTTCAAGGAGCGGGACACTTATCCGGACGCTTATTAGAAATCCCGCTATGCCCTCAGACAAACCATCAAACAGGCAAAGCGTCAAAACAGGACTAAGATTGAAATCTACTACACCGGCTCTGACGTTCGTCGGATGTGGCAGGGCTTGAAAAAAAGGGAAACCCAGCCGCGAGCTGCCCAGTGACGCGAGCCTACCAGACGAGCTAAATGCCTTTTATGCTCGCTTTGAGGCAAGCAACACTGAAGCATGCATGAGAGCACCAGCTGTTCCGGACGACTTTGTGATCATGTTCTCCGTAGCCGATATGAGCAAGACCTTTAAACAGGTCAACATTCACAAAGCCGCGGGGCCAGATGGATTACCAGGACGTGTACTCAAAGCATGCGAAGACCAATTGGCAAGTGTCTTCACTGACATTTTCAACCTCTCCCTGACCGAGTCTGTAATACCTACACGTTTCAAACAGACCACCATAGCCCCTGTGTCCAAGAAAGTGAAGGTAACCTGCCTAAATGATTACCGCCCCGTAGCCCTCACGTCGGTAGCCACGAAGTGCTTTGAAAGGCTGGTCATGGCTCACATCAACACCATCATGCCGGAAACCCTAGACCCACTCCAATTTGCATACCGCCCCAATAGATCCACAGATGACGCAATCTCAAATCGCACTCCACACTCCCACCTGGACAAAAGGAACACCTATGTGAGAATGCTGTTAATTGACTACAGCACAGCGTTCAACACATTTTACATTACATTTTAATCATTTAGCAGATGCTCTTATCCAGAGCGACTTACATGAGCAATTAGGGTTAAGTGCCTTGCTCAAGGGCACATCGACAGATTTTTCACCTAGTCGGCTCGGGGATTAGAACCAGCGACCTTTCGGTTACTGCCACAACGCTCTTAACCACTAAGCTACCTGCCACCCCATGCAGGAAGAAATTCAAACCCTTTTGCTCAACACTACCAATTTAACATTCAAGTCCAAACTTAACATGAAACATGTTGCTGGTTCAATACATGAGAAGTGATGCCAAGTGTACCTACACTAATTCAAAGCTCATCACTAAGCTAAGGACCCTGGGACTAAACACTTCCCTCTGCAACTGGATCCTGGACTTCCTGACGGGCCGCCCCCAGGTGTTAAGGGTAGGCAACACCACATCTGCCACACTGCTCCTCAACACTGGGGCCCCTCAGGGGTGCGTGCTTAGTCCCCTCCTGTACTTCCTGTTCACCCACGACTGTGTGGCCAAGCATGACTCCAACACCATCATTAAGTTTACTGACGACACAACAGTGGTAGGCCTGATCACAGACAACAATGAGATAGCCTATAGGGAGGAGCTCAGAAACCTGGCAGTGTGGTGCCAGGACAACAACCTCTCCCTCCATGTGAGCAAGACAATGGAGCTAATCGTGGACTATAGGAAAAGGACGGCCAAACAGACCCCCATTAACATCGACGGGGCTGAAGTGGAGCAGGTCGAGAGTTTCAAGTTCCTTGGTGTCCACATCACCATCAAATTATCATGGTCCAAACAAACCAAGACAGTTGTGAAGAGGGCACGACAACACCTTTTCCCCCCCAGGAGACTGAAAAGATTTGGCAGGGGTCCTCAGATCCTCAAAAAGTTCTACAGCTGCACCATCGAGAGCATCCTGACCGGTTGCATCACCGCCTGGTATGGCAACTGCTTGGCATCTGACCTTAAGGCGCTACAGAGGGTAGTGCGTATGGCCCAGTACATCACTGGGGCCAAGCTTTCTGACATCCAGGACCTATATACTAGGCGGTGTCAGAGGAAGGCCCAAAAAATGGTCAAAGACTCCAGTCACCCAAGTCATAGACTGTTCTCTCTGCTATTGCACGCCAAGCGGTACCGGAGCGCCAAGTCTAGGACCATAAAGGCTCCTTAACAGCTTCTATCCCCCAAGCCATAAGACTGCTGAAGAATTAATCAAATGGCTACCCAGACTATTTACATTTTTATACTGCTGCTACTCGCTGTTTATTATCTATGCATAGTGACTTTACAAATTACCTCGATTAACCTGTACCCCCGCTCATTGACTCAGTACCGGTACCCCCTGTATATAGCCTCGTTATTGTTATGTCATTTTCGTGTGTTACTTTTTGATTTGATTAGATTTTTTTATACCTTAGTTTATTTAGTAAATATTTTCTTAACTTTATTTCTTGAACTGCATTGTAAGTAAGCATTTAACAGTAAGGTCTACACCTGTTGTAATCGGCACATTTGTATTATTATTTTTATTTTACCTTTATTTAACTAGGCAAGTCAGTTAAGAACAAATTCTTATTTACAATGACGGCCTACACCGGCCAAACCTGGACGACGCTGGGCCAATTGTGCGCCGCCCTATGGGACTCCCAATCACGGCCGGTTGTGATACAGCCTGGAATCGAACCAGGGGGTCTGTAGTGACGCCTCAAGCACTGAGATGCAGTGTCTTAGACCGCTGCACCACTCGGGAGCCTTGTGACAAATAACATTTGATTTGATTTGATTTGACCAGGGAGATGGAGGAAGAGGAAGAAATGAAGATGGAATGGGAAGTGGCAGATTTACGTAGCAGAAAAATTCAGCTTAACTGGTTGTTCAAGCGTAATACGTTAGGATGGAATAAGAATATACTTTCCCCCACAAACATACCCACTCTTTCTCTTACAAACACACACAATCACATGTGGTCCACTCCCTGATATTTATTAGCAGCAAATGACACTCAGAGTGCTTTATGAGCTCCCATGGAGGCATGTTTGTGTATTGGTTAAAGAGTTTGTCTGTGTTGTGGGAGCTATATACAGTATGACGAGTCTGGACACACACCAAGTGAAAATGAATAAACCCTAAGAAATACACAACCATCATCAAATGATTGGACTCCTCCACTACACTGTGACGGTCCAGGGACAGGACAAAATGGCAATGATTAACTCAAGGGAGTATGAATGGGTGGAGGAGTAGGTTCTTACCAGGGAATTGATAGGTATATCCAGGGGTGATGCCAGTGTAACTTCGACTAGCATAGGTAGCTGTCTGAAACCCTGGGTAACCTATGGTGAAAGGACAGTCATGCGTCTGTGTTTGAGTGAAACAGTGCTGCCCCCTGCCTGTGAAAGAGGATACTGTCAATGTAACAACAGGTTCACAGAAACAATACAGTCAATTACATTCTTTAGTCTAGATCAGCCAACAGGATATTTTGTGTATGTATGCTCAGCTCAAAGTTTATCTAACTTAACAACTGTACCCTTGCCTATAATTCCCTGTTGTCCTGCCAACGTCATTGGGAATATTGCAGTTCTCAGACTGAACAGTATATGGTAGTGTCATAATTAGCCCATCTTCAGAGGCATGCTTTAACCACTAAATCCTATTATATATCTCATAAATATCAATATTACACACATACATGCATTACTTTATCCCAAGATCATAGAGTGCATAAATTCCAGGGTACCTCAGACTAATTTGGTACCACATGTTTTAATAGACTTTTCAGTTGGCAGGCTCAAATATGAAATGATCTTATTAAGGGGAGATTATCTTATTAAGGGTATGCTATCTGTCCCGTAGCGGTAGTAACATCTGTGGTAAATCATCTACACATAATATAAAATATGATATTATGAGAAGATTCTTAACACAGTCATTTGATGGTATGGGGTAAAAGGATATGAGGGGCCACATCATCATCATCGACATTACTGTCATCATCATCGTCACTATGAGCTTACCCAGCATGCCGATGCCCAGCATGAAGGCATCCATGCCGTAGGGCATTACCCGAGAGCGCCCCCTGGCCGATCCCGTGGGTGACATCACTTCCTTGGGCTGAGCCTTCTTACACTCCACCTGTCAGAAACACACGAGGGGGACAAAACAGTCAACAACTACAACTCTAACAATTACATTGTGTATTGAATTACGAAGGATTGACTTCTTAGCTTACCATTTTGCTGTTTATCTCATGGAAGTGCATCTCACACACTTTCTCCACCACATCCTCATTCTCAAACGTGACAAAGCCAAACCCTGGAGTGGACAAATACAAATAAAGAATATGAGGAGTGTCAGCTCATGAAGTGCATGGCAACACCATTGATTAAAGCCCTTGTTCCCATTATTGAGCATCTCAGACCCAATTTTAGGTAAATCCATTCTACTGTCTCTGGGAGTTAGAGAGTGGGGCTAATGCACTACTGCTAACCACCTCCTGTATTAGGTACTGTAATAGCCGCTTAGTACACTGGCACCCTCCCCCCTCTGGGGCGCTGTTCCTGGCTCATCCCCTCCTCCCTCCCCTCCCTCCTGGCCAGGTCAGCGAGCGAGCCTCCCTACCTCTCTCAGCCGAGTAAAGCTGGTGGGCTGTCATAATCGATCAGTCCCAGGGTGGGTAGGAGGTGCTTAAGGAGGCTTTATCCTGATCCCCGATTAACAGACTGACTAATTAGCCTAGACTCGTTCCTCTCCTCCTACTCAGTTCCTCCTGTTCAGCCTACAAGGAGGAGATAGCTGATAGTTGCATTATTCAAGAAACGTATTACTTACTACGATTGTGATATGTGGTTGTCTTACCTAGCTACATTAAGAAGAACCCACTAACTGAAAGTCGCTCTGGATAAGAGCTTCTGCTAAATGACTTAAATGTAAATGTAAAAAAACAATTGAGGATACAGAGATGTAAGGCTTGGAGTACTGGGGGACTGGACAGAGAGAGGGTTACTCAGTCTTACCTCTGTGTCTGTTGGTGGTCTTGTCAAACATGAGCAAGGCATCATCAACCTAGAGGAGACAAACACAGAGTTTTACACACATCATCTCACACAACGCACACACGCGCCATATTGTCTGACCTCACCCCTTCTCAAGTTCTACAGGGAGGCTCAGCAACAGATGGACAGAAGGGGCAAAACGAGGAGGGGTGGAGGAGGGGGACCGGTTACAAAGGAGAAGAGGGAAGGAGGGAGGGGAGCACAGTAGAGGAAGAGAAGAAAACAGAAGAAAGAAAACATCTTAAGAGGGGGAAATGAATGATGCATGGGCACAAGATGGCCGCTAGAAAAGTTTTGATTGACAAACACAAAATCAGAAACACTTCACTGTTTCTCTTAGTTTGATTTCCTGCCTCTGAATTGCATAGTCACAATCTCTCTCTGAAAAAGAGGACATAATCCACCCTCGCTCCCACTACTTTCCAAAGTTTGCCATTCCCATTGCAACTGTGCAAAAATATATCTTAAAGATCTTTATCCGGCACCAAGCATTAATTGTTAAGAGAGAGAGAATATGTGAGAGTGTGAGAGAGACAGAGAGGAAGAGAGAGAGATACAGATAGATAGATAGATAGATAGATAGATAGATAGATAGATAGATAGACAGACAGACAGACAGACAGACAGACAGACAGACAGACAGACAGACAGACAGACAGACAGACAGACAGACAGACAGACAGACAGACAGACAGACAGAAGACAGAAAGAGAGAAAGAGAATGAGAGTGGTAGGGGGTACAATAAGTAAGGTAGAAATGTGGGCAAGTATAATGTTGGATGAGGGGAAGAGGGACTGGGGAGAGAATACACGTACAGACAGACCATGGTGAGGTAGAGACGGGTGTGTGTGAGAGAAAGAGAGAAGTGAAAGATACAGTATCGTGAGATAGAGGTGGAGACAGAAAATGTGGGACTAAATTGGGAGGGAGGAGAACAGAGAGAGACAAAGAATGGGAGCAAGATAACAAAGAGGTGTGGAGGCTTTGTCTGTTGGCACAGTCAGCCATGATTCCACTTCTCCTAGTGCCCTCTCTCTCTCCCTCTCTGTACCTCCCTCCTTCACAGTACAGAGGCCCAGGTTTCACCTTCAACTGAACACAGACCAATTCATTTCAATGCAAAATCTAATAAAAAAGCATGAACTGTCATACACCTAATATAATTCAAATGAACTCCTAAACGAATTGCTAACTAATATTGTAGAAAGGCTTTCCACATTCAATATCTGATGCCTTTCAGTTTGCAATAAAGCCAATGGCAGGAGCACATGGTTCCACCTACTATTTGCCAGAACCACTTATTCACACGCCTATACGGTTCCACCCAGAGCTGATACATTGTGTTAGTCAATGCGTGTGTGTCAGTGTGTGTGTGTGTTCGTGCTTGGGGACACCCTTGGGCAGCTTGCACAAAGAAAGGTCAAGGGTGAGGGAGGAGGGCCTCCAGCCAATGTGAAAGAAGACCTGTCGGTCTTCGCTCTCTCAAATCACTGACTCTTTCCACTCTGACATTTCTGTATCACCCCTCCTGTCTCCCTAACCAGCCCTGCCTCTTTCCAGGCCAAGCACCATGACACAGCAATGCAACAACACAGACAATGTTGCTCCACAGTTTAGAGCACCAAACTTTAACCAAACTGTACATACTGTACATAATTCCACAAGTACCCAGTGCAATTCAAGTTTACAAGTTAAAACGTCAATAATGTCCTCATTTAACTAAATGTTTCTAAATAAGTCAATAACCGTCCTTCAAAGCTATATATTTCAAACACGGGACATTTTAATGGTGCACTGGACAATATTCCCCTCTTCCCCTCTCTTACACTGCTCATCCTCCCTCTCATCCTCTCCCCATCCCTCTCTCCACCCCCTTGTCCAGAGCAGGGCAGGAGACAAAAGGTCCAGTGAGGCAGTCTAATCAGAAACTTCCATGGGTGGCTAGAGCTTACATTTCTCCATCTATCCATCTCTCTCTCTCTGTCTCATTCCATTAATGTGGTTTTATGATTGGGAGTGAAGCATTTTGTGTGCCACATACGTATGTGATAGATACAGGAAGTATAATTTCAATTATCAAGACTTTGAATTGAATATTACATAATCACTCTGCCCTGACTGACTAATGGTAAACTACATAAATTAGCTTCGCCGCAGCCTTTTATTGGGGTTGAAAGCTAATCTAGTTAGTATCCAGGCTCATTGGTTTATCAGATTTCCTACTGAATTTGCACCTTACTTACTTGCGTAGGTTACTTGCGACCACTATTTCAAGTTGTCTGTTTAAAATAGTGTCAACAAAAAGTAAGAAAGGTTAGAAAATTCAACAGAGGAGTACGAGCGCACCACAGCGCACCTCCTTGTAAATATTGAACTCCTGTACAAACTAACAAAATATTTGCCTAGCTTTGTTCAAAGACATAATAGTCCCATTAAATCCCTGCACCCGTTCTCCCTTCTGCCTTTGTTACCCCTTCATTTATTCTCTCTGCTCTGCATTTCAAAGCCCTTGGAATCTATGGTGGGAAGAGTAAAAACTTTGAGTACAATACGGATATTCAAATAAATATCTATGGATATTCAAATAAAATCAAAGGCATAAGTTTGAAGAACTGAAGACAGACTGGAAGTGACAAGTATGCTGGTTTGGGTCTGTTTTGACCGTTGGTCTACCAGTGTTATTGTTACACAACTCCTGGGTTGACACTCTCCAACCTCCAACCCCCCCCCCCCCCCCCCCCTCAACACAAAACGCTGAATTACTTGGGGACAATGGGCAAGCCGGGTTACCACGGTAACAGGCAAGGAGGGGGTTGGGGGTAGGAGCAGCTGTTACATCAGATTAATTCAGATTCTGATAATCCCTCCCCCTTCCCCACCATCGCCACACTCACTCCCTCTCCAAAACTTTTTCTCCCTAACTTAGCCTAATGCTCCATACCTCCGTTCTACCCTCTCTATCCCTCTTCTCCTCCACCCCTCCCATGAGTAACTCTCCTTTCTTCCAAAACAACTCTTCAATTGCACTTCATTTTTACCCTTAACTCAGCAATCAGTTTTATCTAAACAACAAAGATGTGAGACGGGTTGAGGAAAACAGTGGCATGGAGGATGTTGCAACATCACACTCATCTCCACTCCCTCAACACAGTCTGAGACACAGATCCCCACACGTCTACTTTCTATATCACATTTCAATAGCTATACTAGCTCCCATGCTGCTTACCTTTCCGAACTGGTCAAAATACGCCTTGACATCCTCAATGGTCGTGTTCACGGACAGACCTCCAACAAAGATCTTCTTGGTCCGAGTCACTAGCTGCAAGGGAAAATTGGTCAGTTTATGAATGGATGGAGAATGAATGAATAACTGTGATAGCACCATGGATTAAGATGAACTTTTAATGGTGGCTGTAGTTTGGTAGCCTGGTATTATCCATCTCAATTATAAATGAATTCAGGTGCCAATGGAAAAACCACCAGCAGCCAAGCTTCCAATTTACCTCAAAGCACCTAAAAGACCCCTTTGCATGAAAAATAAAGGAGTCAGCTGAAATAGCTCTGGCCAAGTATTACCACAAAATGGTTTCAGACTTTATGTTGATCTTTATGGCATCACGACAAACAGTACAGTACATTATTAACATACTTGTTACACTGCTTATGTAGAAAACGTATTCTGCTACCACCACCTGCATTAATGCCGGTGAACTTGCAGTATACACGTTAGGCTCTTATGAATATACAAATGTATATTATTGTGCTGTATAAGGTGTTAACAAAAGCCACTTGATCACACAAGAGTATGGAACACATTGATGTCACAGCAGCAGTTATGTTCATCTCATGACAAGGCATTAGCCCAGATAGAATGTGAAAAGCTTAACATAGCAAGCACAGGCTATTCTGCTCCCTCCCAGCAATGCCATTCAAACTGGACTCACAGGACTAAGCCCTGATAAACCATGACTAGACTGGCTCACTCACCTTGGGCTGGGCTCTACGAGGGAATGCAACTTTCGGATCAATCTAGAGGAGGGAGTTAAGAGGAGAAAGGCCAGTTTAGACACACAGCTCAATACAGGTAACTGTGAACCAAGTCCATGGTTATGGTTTCTTTGGTGCCGCTCTTTGCCTCATCCTGTAAGGCTTCCTTCTTAACATGCGTGTCTGGGTTATAATGCTGCACCAGTACATGCATTAGGTCATTATGAGAGCTAGAGCAATAAGACAACTAAAGGATCATTTTTTTTCACAACGTGGGGCATAGAAGGTGAAAAAATAGATGAGTATAATATTTACTTTCTCTCTGAAAGAATCTGCTGGTAGATTTGGAACTAAGAAACTCTCATTTTAACTAATTGTAACCATAACCCCATTGGCCCAGCCAGAGCTGGTCTTAGTTGTAATGAATACTTTTACAACCCCTGAAGTGCTGATTTATTGGTGTGCGTGTGCAGGTGGAAAGTGTGGGAATGTTTTCCGGCATGCCTGCCTTCCACAGCCCTCTCCTCCTCTCGTCACCAACATGCGACATGTGATCTCCTGGAATCTCACACAGGCACTACAATCACATCTCACCTCCGCAAAAAAAGGGCAGCGAAATAGACACAGTAGGCGAAAGAAAGGGAGGGACAGCACAGAACAAGAGGAAGATGAGGAAGACGAGGAGGGAGAATGGACGGACGCAAACAGGGGAGAGAGCCGTCAACCTCACACACTGACAGCACATCAGCCTCATTTTATTTCTTTGTGTTTGTTTGTTTTTGCCTTTCTCTCCCGCTAAGACATTATGATGATTTTGTGAGCTATTTAAAAGCCAACATTTCATAGTGTGTTTATCACACAGTTCTTCCACACAGTTCTTCAGTAAAAGTGAGAGCTAAGCTATCACTAACAGTGCAGAGACTGAAATATAATAATACTAAATGAATATAATAATAATAATAATAATAATTCAATTACATAAACTGTCAGGTCAATTGTAGATTCACCATGTAATTTGTCACACAAAAGCCAAACCATTGAATTTATATATTTACAATTGACAATATAGTCATTTGTTCAGATTGGATAAAGAGTATAACTACACCATGCCAAAAAGATGCAACTATAGAGACTATAGTACAGGACTTGGAGACCTCTATAGTATTAGTCTATACTGATCTAATAGAACTAGAGAACAATTAGACTACTCCATTCTGTACTGTTCTATATTAGTCCGTAACCATGACAGGGTAGAGTAGAACTACAGTAGAGAGCTAGTGCCTCTATGGTAAACCACATGCGTTTACCAGAGTAAAGTACAGTGTTTAGTCTACGTGTATAGTGTCGACATCACAGCAGGTTCTATAGAGCAGAGTGGGAAGTCTAGGCTAGACTGGATGGTGTATCGGATGCAGTCTACTGTTTAGTTCTATGGTCTCTAGACTGGATGGTGTATCGGATGCAGTCTACTGTTTAGTTCTATGGTCTCTAGACTGGATGGTGTATCGGATGCAGTCTACTGTTTAGTTCTATGGTCTCTAGACTGGATGGTGTATCGGATGCAGTCTACTGTTTAGTTCTATGGTCTCTAGACTGGATGGTGTATCGGATGCAGTCTACTGTTTAGTTCTATGGTCTCTAGACTGGATGGTGTATCGGATGCAGTCTACTGTTTAGTTCTATGGTCTCTAGACTGGATGGTGTATCGGATGCAGTCTACTGTTTAGTTCTATGGTCTCTAGACTGGATGGTGTATCGGATGCAGTCTACTGTTTAGTTCTATGGTCTCTAGACTGGATGGTGTATCGGATGCAGTCTACTGTTTAGTTCTATGGTCTCTAGACTGGATGGTGTATCGGATGCAGTCTACTGTTTAGTTCTATGGTCTCTAGACTACTCTGATAGTCACCTCCGGTCACCAACCCTCCTGATGTCCAACACTCCTGTGCACATTAAAAAACAAACAAACAGACACACACACACACAAATAGAATCAACATAGAGCAACCAACACACACCCATGGGGGGAAGATATGGACATTAGACAGGTGAGGTAACGTTTTCATAAAATCATTGTTGAAAACAAAATGAATGACCCAAATAGAGAATTGATTTGAGAAAGTTAAATGCCCCCCTTTTCTATATTTATGACACAAAGTAAAATACATAACCATGGAAACTGTAAAACACCCTGCTTAAAAAAAAAATCATGATGACATATTTATTGGATCACGCTAAATGTGGCAGAGGTGTTGGTGTCAGGGAGACAGGCCAGGCTGTAACCCAGGCCCACCGACTGTCCACAGAGCTGAGACTAAGACCAAGGCAAGGGGTCTTATCAAATCAGGATGATCCCTTTGACCAATTACAGTCCAACCATGCACTCTTTAAAATAAAGGTGCAAGTTGGAACCAAATAAGGTTCTTGAGAGCGATGCTATAGGGGAACCATTTTAGGATCTATGAAGAACCATAAATGGGATGATTCTTTGAAGAACCATACAAAATCCCAAACAGAAATGTTTCGACCCTCCAGGACCGAAATTGAATAGCCCTGCTGTAGTTTTAAGCCTTGTTTGCATATTTCCCAGGGTGCCTGTCGATTGAATTTTAGAGTTACCAGTACCACCCATGACTGTGTTTGTTAGTGACAGAGACATGGCTGTTGCAATCATTCATTTTCAGTCCTGTGGCCTTCACCAAGTGAGATCCTAACTCATTAAAATGTAATTATTTAAGACAATACAATACATATTTTATAAGGCCTTCTTTTGAGGGCCTAGTTTTACTCTAATTCAGTGGCCTGAAACTCATAGTTTACAGGCCACATCAGCCCTGTGAATCACATTACGCTGGATTGCGTAGTGATGTGCAATTCCTATTGGAATCCAACATTTATTTATATTTTTTATACACGCAACCTGCATTCAGAATGACTGCCAGGGTTAGGAAGACTAAGATATAAGACTACCTTAAATATATAAACTGGAACAACCATAACAGGTACAATAAGTCCAAATAACAGATTGGAATCATTTAGAAAAATGTATCTTATTTATATATGAGTAGCATAAGATTAATTAATCAATCAATGTACATGCAAAAACATAGATATTGACACAAACAATTCTAAAAATCTACCTGCAATAAAGTATTCTGGGAAATATGATAATAATGGGAACACCAACACTTGCGTTCTTTTACATCATTGAGTGTTAATATAACTCTTTACAGTGTTAATTTAACTCTTGAATCAACACTAGAAATGTTACACTGAAAGATCCATACTAATCACAAATGGGGTGATCCCACCTGTCACCTTCCCTCTATCCCTTCATGCATCCCTTCCTCGCTCTCCTCGTCTTCCTCCTGGGTCAGCATGCTTGTCGCTTCACGTCAGGGCTAACTGAAACAGCTTATCTATACAGATTCTATAATCATAGAATGAATGATTTTAGGATGTCTCAAACTTCTTTGATTTGAACTGGACCTTTTCTAGGACAGGTTATTATTTTCCCTTTCTTAGGACCTTATAGCTTGCCTTGGGTGGGTGCATAGCAGGTGTGGGAGTGCACCAATGACGTCCATATTCAGGACTGAGTCCGACTGACACAGTTCTCTATGTTTAGATAGAATATGTTTTACGAGCTGCAGGTGGTCTTTTTTTAAATGTTATTTATTTAACCTTTATTTAACTAGGCAAGTCAGTTAAGAACAAATTCTTATTTACAATGACGGCCTACACCGGCCAAACCTGGACGACGCTGGGCCAATTGTGCGCCGCCCTATGGGACACCCAATCACGGCCGGTTGTGATACAGCCTGGAATCGAACCAGGTGGTCTGTAGTGACGCCTCAAGATGAGATGCAGTGCCTTAGACCGCTGCGCCACTCGGGAGCTCTGTAACTTGAGATTGAACTACTGTTGCAATGAGTATCCTTGTGTTAAAGTTATGCTAGAGAAATATAGGATGATGTAATATCTTGTCAAACTCACTTTACCTCAAACACTTTTCTAAACCTTGACGACAGAGTGCAACATCACTCCAATGGGAGTAATCTTACAAGAACATAATACAATAATTCTCCATAGACTCAAGTCTACTCAAGTCACTTGCAGACAGTGTGCCTAGCAGTTACAAATAAAAGTCCTTCTTAGTAAACATCTCTCCATTCTCATCCTGGAGCAGGTTAGTCAGTCACAGCATGGTACATTCTTTCTGTTGCCATTGGATAACTTTTCTCTCTCTACTCTCTAACAGGACAGCCTGCCTGTGGCTGTGAGAGAGAGAGGAGAGGGGGGCAGGGTGTTCTCACTCTAAACTAAAGCCTACCCTACTCACTATCCCACCCCTGCCGTTGGTCACTGAGTCAGACCACCCCAGACACACACACTCTAAAGCTACAACAGAGCACCGGCCATGCAGAGCACAGTCACACCCTTTTACCAACCACACTCAGCCATGCTCCATCCAGCTGACAACACATGGATCTAATCTATTACTCCTCTAGGTTTTGATAGGAGGTTAAACTGTCACCTAGTCTGGTATCCCAGGAATGATCATTTTCAAAGATGTTGGTTTTGTGTCCATTCTCTTTGGAGGGGGGTGTCATGGAGACACAAAAGCCATGGCAACTAACCATTAAAGCCCCCATTGTAACTATCATCATGCCAAATCAGACTGATGTAGTAACCTTTGACTTGGTCTGACTTTTGTAAATCTATTATTTATCTACAAACCTTTTTCTATACTTCTGCACAGAATGTTACTTTGAATCTGTGCCGTTCCCATCCCATAAAGCTCTCCACCCTAACTATGACCCCCTCCCTCCCTCCCCTGAGTGGTGTCCTCTTTAGTCTCAACTAATCTTCCGTGTGTATATCTGTAGATATGTTGAGATGGTGTACCTCTCCAAACACAAAAGGGAAGAAAGAGCCTCAGCACATTTCAATACACTGACCTACCCCCAGCCATCACCACTCCCACCCAGTAAGGGGGAACTTAGCCGTCCCTATGGCGACCAACGGGCAGCATTGTTCCCAAACCAGCCCACATTCATTAATGACAAAGACACACAACACCCAGAGTTTTAAAAACACAAGTTATACACACTCCCTCATGCACATGTACACATAGAAACAGGTAATGTCTGAAACAATAGGGCAATCTTTGATCTGGCTAATGGTGTTCTGAGATTTTGTTTTGTTTTCCCACAAGGGATAATAATGCCCTTCCATATGGTAGTGGTTGTTCTGACACGCCCTCCCTATTGAATAGCACTGATATGACAATGTTGGGAATATCACTATCTTGTCCCAACTACATCAACACCTGTAGCTTACTAGTTTCAGGGTGCAGAGGCACAAGTTAATTCATAGATGTTTTTAAATAAGACAGTTATGTAGGTAATTTTCACCCAAGGAACAAATGACTTGCGAACTGAAGTATAAAACAGCATGCAGAACGTTTGATGATGAGTTTACACTTGTTATGAAGCAGAAACGGTGCTATTGAACACAACCCTGTCTGGGTCCCCCAGTTACCATGGCAATTGACACTGTGTAATGCTTTCTTGACTGTTTCACTGTGGAGGGTAAGGGAAAGAGAGAGCACATTCTGTAGCCCAGTCTATTCCTGAGCTTTACTCCATGGCTCAACGTGTAGTTTTTATATCCCATTAAGCGTCATGTATAAAGAACACTTGCAAATCATAATGGTAAGAGCATTACTCAAAAGTATTTTACTAGTAGCCTAGTTTAGTAGTCTAGTTTAAATTAAAGGCAGCAATGGATCTCTTTAATAGTGCCATATAAAGGCAATAATATATCTATATTTAACTTATTTCCCAGAGATAACGTAATAACTTTACAAAAGTTTTTTGTTTTTTTTAATAGTAGAGTATGTCTAAAATACTATTCAAATTGATAAAACTACTACAGCCATATCAAATAATGTTTTAGTTCTTGAGAACGGAAGACATGTTTTGTAGTAGGCTTTTGTATAAAAATGGAAGTGATAAGACTAGAAAAGTATTCTAGTCTACAGAAATACTTTAAGTGGATGAATAACTCACTGTTTTCGAATCCAACTCATGCCTGGTTACTGCCAAAACTGAATCCACACCGGCCTGGTCAAGAAACGTGACAAATCCAAAACCCCTGCAAATAAATATCAACAAAGAGCCTCAGCACCCAGCAGAAAGTATTCACACCCCTTGACTTTTTCCACATTTGTTGTGTTACAGCCTGAATTTAAAATTGATTTAATTGAGATTGTTTGTCACTGGCCTACACACAATACCCCATAATGTCAAAAAATAACCCTAATTGCTCATGTAAGTCGCTCTGGATAAGAGCGTCTGCTAAATGACGTAAATGTAAATGTGCAGTTTTGTTTTTTGAATATTTTTGAAAATTATTAAAAATGAAAAGCTGAAATGTCTGGAGTAAATAAGTATTCAACCCCTTTGTTATGGCAATACAAAACATTACTGAGGACCACTCTTCATATTTTTAAGTATAGTGGTGGTTGCATCATGTTATGGTATGCTTGTAATAGTTAAGGACTGGGGAGTTTTTTAGGATAAAAAAGAAACGGAATGGAGCTAAGCACAGGCAACCTGGTTCAGGAAAACCTGGTTCAGTCTGCTTTCCACCAGACACTGGAAGACGAATTCACCTTTCAACAAGACAATAACCTAAAACACAAGGCCAAATCTAGAAGACAGTGAATGTTTCTGAGTGGCCGAGTTACAGTTTTGACTTAAATCTGTGTGAAAATCTATGGCAAGACCTGAAAATGGTTGTCTAGCAATGGTCAACAACCAATTTGACAGAGCTTGAAGAATTTTGAAAAGAATAATGGGCAAATATTGTACAATCCAGGTGTGCAAAGCTCTTAGAGACTTACCCAGGAAGACTCACAGCTGTAATCGCTGCTAAACGTGATTCTAACATGTATTGACTTAGGGTTGTGAATACGTATGTAAATGAGATTTCTGTATTTTATTTTCAATAAATGTGCAAAAAATAATAATAATATGTTTTCACTTTGTCAATATGTGGTATTGTGTAGATGGGGTGAGAAAAATCTATTTAATCAATTTTGAATTCAGGCTGTAACAACAAAATGTGGAATAAGTCAACGGGTATGAATACTTTCTGAAGGCACTGTACAATAATTAAACACATAAAGAAAGTATTGACACATATTAATCATATGAATGAAGTAGGCCTATGTCATCACGAGCAGTTGAACTGGTGTGATGTGTCCGAGCAGGCTTGGGCTTTTCTGATAGGGCGCTGCACCGCGCACGCCCCCCTCACCTAGAACGCTTAGTAACTGGATCCCGCATCACCATGCACTCCTTCACCTCGCCATACTTGCAAAAGTACTCTTTCAATCCCTCTGAAAGAAAGAAGACCAACAAACTGAGATAAACTATTTTTTTTGTATGTCAGTAGCATAAAGCAGGTGGTGTGTGACGCTACTGCCTACTACGGTATAATTGTAGCCACCATTGTTCAACTTTCTGATGGTCGCAGTATGTGATTGGGTTCAAACGTCAACAATGTTACTGTCCAGTGTCCAGTAATGAGAAAATAAAATAAGGAATGTTTAAAGTTGACAATGACAGCCTATACATAATAGAGACTAAATTATGATCCATTATCCAATGACAGAATCAAGACAAAACTCATCCCTCAAGGGATGCAACAAAAACTATCTTCCTGCGATAAATGCGCAATTATTGTCTTGAACAATAGCCTATTGGTTTATTCAGCAGAACTTTTGTAAACTCCTTTTCCAAAATGCCATACCATTTTTAACGGATTTATAGATTTAGGCCAGTTATAGTTTTGTCTCATTACTTTAGGATTGGTTCATTTTCATCTTGGCATTCTTTATTATATTCCCCTGTAGGCTAGGCTACTGATCTGAGTTGAATGGGGGGCTTTGATTTTAGCGGTGGACCACAGATTGAATTTATCTAGATGCCAAATGAGTTTAGCATAACTCATTAATCACTTTTAGAAATCTTGAATCAAAACTAGGATTTAGGCTATTAGCTACAGATTATTATTTCCTACTCTCACTGTGACTTTAAAACAGATATGACTGAGAATTACATACGAGAATAAACGGCTGATAAAAGTTTTATAAAGTTTGGAGAAAAAAGCTTACCTTGTGTCGTCTGCCAGCTGAGGCCGCCAATGAACATTTTGCTAAAAGAAATAACGCATAAGTGAAAAAGCACATTAAATAGTCCTAGGTAACATGTAAGCTTTGATGTTGGGTAAACGAGGGCAGTTCAATCATTTAGAAATGTCGACAGCAATATTTAACTCGCTTATTATAAGTTATAACACCGTTATTGAAGCCAAAATATAATTTCTCTGTTCACAAAAATACAATGAATGAGCGGTCTCTCTTTGAAGATGAGCAGTGCCATGGACCAACAACACAAAAAGTGCGAGTATGCTCTCCGTCTCAGTAAAATAGGTAGTTTCTCTCCACTCCTGGATTCGTCTCGGAGGTGTATCCGATCTCAGGACTAGGTATAGCCGACTGAGGAAGGTAGGTTTACCAGGGGTCGTGAGGGGAGTCCGTGGAGGACAGGCTGCTCTGGCTCCCTTCCGTATCCATTTCGTGCCCGTGTGTTCAGACTGTACCGTATGGAAAAACAGGCAGAGTGGAGTGATGGGGCGGGGGTTTGGCCAAGGTTTAAGGGGGGAACGGGCTGTTGCAGAGAGGAGGGACGAGTGCATTTGGCTCAAGGAGAGGTGGTCGACTCCTCCTCTCCTTGTACCCGCGTGTTCCTCTCATCCTAGCGGTACACCTTTGTCCCATAAATTAGTTCGAAATTACGCACATTTTACGCATGCTTATAAATAAACAAATAGAGAAATCAATATGTATTCTCGTTTGGGTAAATGATAATACTGTATGAAATAATTGGAATGATCATTTTTGTTCGTGTGGGCTGCATATATTCCATACAGGTTTAGGGTTTTAAGCTAGGCCATATTAATGACACATAAATACACTATATATACAAAAGTATGTGGACACCCCTTCAAATTAGTGGATTCGGCTATTTCAGCCACACCCCTTGCTGACAGGTGTATAAAATCGAGTACACAGCCATGGAATCTCCATAGACAAACATTACTGAAGAGTTCAGTGCCTTTCAACATGGCACCATCATAGGATGCCACCTTTCCAACAAGTCAGTTTGTCAAATTTCTCCCCTGCTAGAGCTGCCCCATCAACTGTAAGTGCTTTTATTGTGAAGTGGAAACGTCTAGGAGCAACAATGGCTCAGCCGCAAATTGGTAGGCACACAAGCTCACAGAACAGGACCGCCGAGTGCTGAAGCGCATAGCGCGTAAAAATCTTCTGTCCTCTGTTGTAACACTCACTACCAACTTCCAAACTGCCTCTCGAAGCAACTTCAGCACAATAACTGTTCATCAGGAGCTTCATAAAATGGGTTTCCATGGCCAAGCAGCCGCACACAAGCCTAAGATCACCATGCGCAATGTCAAGCGTCGGCTGGAATGGTGTAGAGCTCACCGCCATTGGACACTGGAGCAGTGGAAATGTGTTCTCTGGAGTGATGAATCACGCTTCACCATCTGGCAGTCCGACGGACAAATCTGGGTTTGGCGGATGCCAGGAGAACACAACCTGCCCCAATGCATAGTTCCAACTGTAAAGTTGGTGGATGAGGAATAATGGTCTCGGGCTGTTATTCATTGTTCGGGCTAGGCCCCTTAGTTCCAGTGAAGGGAAATCTGAACGCTACAGCATACAATGAGATTCTAGACGATTCTGTGCTTCCAACTTTGTGGCAACAGTTTGGGGAAGGCCCTTTCCTGTTTCAGCATGACAATGCCCCCATGCACAAAGCGAGGTCCATACAGAAATGGTTTGTCGAGATCGGTGTGGAAGAACTTGACTGGCCTGCACAGAGCCCTGACCTCAACCCCATCGAACATCAGTGCCCGACCTCACTAATGCTCTTGTGGCTGAATGGAAGCAAGTCCCCGCAGCAATATTCCAACATCTAGTGGAAAGCCTTCCCAGAAGAGTGGAGGCTGTTATTACATTTACATTTACATTTACATTTTAGTCATTTAGCAGACGCTCTTATCCAGAGCGACTTACAGGAGCAATTAGGGTTAAGTGCCTTGCTCAAGGGCACATTAACGTCATTTAGCAGACGCTCTTAGCCAGAGCGACTCACAAATTGGTGCGTTCACCCTATAGCCAGTGGGATAACCACTTTACAATTTGGGGGGGGGGGGGGTTAGAAGGATTACTTTATCCTATCCCAGGTATTCCTTAAAGAGGTGGGGTTTCAAATGTCTCCGGAAGGTGGTGAGTGACTCCGCTGTCCTGGCGTCGTGAGGGAGCTTGTTCCACCATTGGGGTGCCAGAGCAGCGAACAGTTTTGACTGGGAGCAGCAAAGGGGGGACCAACTCCATATTAATGGCCATGATTTTGGGATGAGATGTTCGACAAGCAGGTGTCCACATAATTTTGGTAATGTAGTGTATCAAAATAGAAGTAGATGAGTAACGCTACTATGCCTTCTGCCAAGAAGTCTGGGCCTATCTGGCACAAGAGGAACGGAGCTTTCCCAGTTACTGCATAACCACTGGACCATGATGGTTGTTTCCCGCCAATCGCTACAATGGTGGCAGTGATGGGATATTTCAAGAGTTCCTTATGCCTTTTTGTAAGTGGGATTCAATCTGTAAGCATTAGGTTTAACTTGTGTGCCCAGTCCTCAATAGATGAAAATGTACTGACCTCTTCCAAAATAATTGTCTAGGGCACAGGAGGTAGTGCACCTTCCCTATAACCTCGAGGTTGCTGGTTCAAACCCCACTGCGGGTGCTCCCCTTCAATAGGTTTAATTGAGATTCTACAGGTAACTGCCAAAATAAAAGAAACACCAACATAAAGTGTCTTAATAAGGTGTTGAGCCACCACAAGCCAGAACAGCTTAATGAACCTTGGCATAGATACTACAAGTGTCTAGAACTCTATTGGAGGAATGCGACACCATTCTTCCACAAGAAATTCCATAATTTGGTATTTTGTTGATGGTGGTGAAAAAACGCAGTCTCCGGCGCCTCTCCAGAATCTCCCATAGGTGTTTAATTGGGTTGAGATCTAATGACTGAGACGGACATGGCATATGGTTTACATTGTTTTCATGCTCATCAAACCATTCAGTGACCATTCGTGCCCTGTGGATGGACGCATTGTCATCCTATGGGGGCATAGCCATGGTAGCCAAAATACTGGCCTGCCCAGCATTATTATACACTGAACAAAAAATATAAAACGCAACGTGTAAAGTGTTGGTTCCATGTTTCATGAGCTGAAATAAAAAATCCCAGTAATTTTCCACATGCACAAAAAGCTTATTTCTCTAAAATTTTGGGTGCTGAGGAGTATGTTTGTCTGTAATAAAGTCAATTTGTGGGGAAGACTCATTCTGATTGGCTGGGCCTGGCTCCCAAGTGGGTGGGCCTATGCCCTCCAAGGCTCACCCATGGCTGCACCCCTGCCCAGTCATGTGAAATCCATAGATTAGGGCCTAATTAATTTATTTCAATTGACTGATTTCCTTCTATGTAACTCAGTAAAATCTTGCATTTATAGTTTTGTTCAGTATACATGACCCTAAACATGATGGAATGTTAATTGCTTAACTCAGGAACGACACCTGTATGGAAGCAACTGCTGTCAATATACTTTGTATCCCTCATTTACTCAAGCGTTTACATTATTGTGGCAGTTACCTGTGTTGTAAAAATCTGTGTTTTAAAAAGAGAGCCCTTTTTTATAAGTTTGACAAAATGTTTTGCAATGAAACAATCCTGAATTTAACATGCCACCATCTCTCCATTTAGTTGCGATAATAGGATTGAATGAACTGTCCTACAGGCATAGGTCCATAGGCCTAATACACGTGCTTGACTTCACCCAACTCCCTCATGTGACATACAGGGCATTCATATTCAGACCCCTTCACTTTTTCCACATTTTGTTACGTTACAGCCTTATTCTAAAATTAATTAAATAAAAAAAATTTCCCTCATCAATCTACACACAATACCCCATAATGACAAAGCGAAAACAGGTTTTTTGAAATGTTTGCAAATGTATTAAAAATTAAAATAAATAATCAGACCCTTTGCTATGAGACTCGAAATTGAGCTCAGGTGCATCCTGTTTCCATTGATCATCCTTGAGATGTTTCTACCTGTGGTAAATTCAATTGATTGGACATGATTTGGAAAGGCACACACCTGTCTTTGTAAGGTCCCACATTTGACAGTGCATGTCAGAGCAAAAACCAAGCCATGAGGAACAAGGAATTGTCCGTAGAGCTCCGAGACAGGATTGTGTCTAGGCACAGATCTGGGAAAGGGTACCAAAACATTTCTGCAGCATTGAAGGTCCCCAAGAACACAGTGGCCTCCATCATTCTTAAATGGAAGAAGTTTGGAACCACACTGAGTAATCGGGTAGAAGGGCCTTGGTCAGGGAGGTGACCAAGAACCCGATGGTCACTCTGACAGAGCTCCAGAGTTCCTCTGTGGAGATGAGAGAACTTTCCAGAAGGACAACCATCTCTGCAGCACTCCACCAATCAGGCCTTTATGGTAGAGTGGCCAGACGGAAGCCACACCTCAGTAAAAAGGCACATGACAGCCAGCTTGGAGTTTGCCAAAAGGCACCCAAAGGAAACAAGATTCTCTGGTCTGATGAAACCAAGATCGAACTCTTTGGCCTGAATGCCAAGCGTCACGTCTGAAGGAAACCAGCAAGCGTCACGTCTGAAGGAAACCAGGCACCGCTCATCACCTGGCCAATACCATCCCTACGGTGAAGCATGGTGGTGGCAGCATCATGCTGTAGGGATGTTTTTCAACGGCAGGGACTGGGAGACTAGTCAGGATCGAGGGAAAGATTAACAGAGCAAAGTACAGAGAGATCCTTGATGAAAACCTGTTCAAGAGTGCTCAGGACCTCAGACTGGGGTGAAGGTTTTCCTTCCGACAGGACAACAACCCTAAGCACACAGCCAAGACAACGCAGTAGTGGCTTCGGGACAAGTCTCTGAATGTCCTTGAGTGGCCCAGCCAGCCTGGACTTGAACCCGATCTAACATCTCTGGAGAGACCTGAAAATAGCTGTGAAGCGATGCTCCCCATCCAACCTGACAGAGCTTGAGAGGATCTGCAGAGAAGAATGGAAGAAACTCCCCAAATACAGGTGTGCCAAGCTTGTAGCATCATACCCAAGAAGATTAGAGGCTGTAAACGCTGCCAAAGCTGCTTCAACAAAGTACTGAGTAAAGAGTCTGAATACTTTTTTTTATTTTTAATAAAATTGATAAAGTCTAAAAACCTGTTTTTGCTTTGTCATGATGGGGTACTGTGTGTAGATTGATGAGGGAAAAAACAATTTAATCAATTTTAGAATAACGCTGTAACGTAACAAAATGTGGAACAAGTCAAGGGGTCTGAATACTTTCCGAATGCACTGTATGCTGCTGCGACACTTTACAAGACATACACAAAAAAAAACAAATGACTAGGTTTGGTGAACATATGACACCAAATGACGTTCAGACTAATCCATATTGTATCCAACCCTGTACAGCCTACACGTTTAGAATTCTCTTTTGTTTGACAATAGGTAATGTATAGCATTTAGTTATTTGTTACCTTCCTGACTACTGCATTACTAAATATTGAACAACGAAGCTAGCCTTGAAAAATCTGCTCTCCACTTTTAATAAATCTCACAAAACATACTTATTGTACAACTACAGTACAGGCCATCATGAAAATTGACCGTTTTTTGTCTACAAATAAAATGGATTGAGAAAATAAAACCTTTGGGCTAGTTGATGTTGATGATATTTTATTTATGCATATTTTAGAATATTCACATGAAAATCTGTCACTTATTGGATGGAAACCTAGCTAGTGTCTCCAGGCCTTGGTTCGCCTACACCTGAAACAGTCCTGACACTAGCTTCAGTAATACAGTCGCTCACACTGGCACAATCCACCCCCCCCCATACTTTAACCCCCTGACAAGGTGGTGGTTTTGGGTAGTGTGCTTGCTCATTCACTGCTGGGTCTTCAGTATTTAATTTGTGCCAAAGCCAGCTCCAGCTAATCTCCTCTCCAACACCGACTCAACATGTGACTTGTTAACCGATTGGAGGCCGATCACAATGTTACCTCTAAGAAACAGCCGTTCAAATAATTCAAGCAATGGCAATGCATTAGCACCAATGCCTATGGTGATGAAGGTAAACAATGTTGTTGATTCACATGCCTCCGAAAGACTGTGGGAACATTGGGAAGTCTTTCAAATCTGCATTAAAACTTCAAATAGACTAACCGTAACTACTGTATTGTCATAGAAGCCTTTGGTTCATCCAACTCCCCTTTACACACTCAGCTTGTTCCATTAGGGGGTGCACTCTCAAGACGCTAAACTAATGCCAGATGACAATAAGAAGGAGAGACTGAACAAACAAACTCATTCGCACTACCTACTCAAGAATATCTGCTCAATATGTGAAACGCCAAACTTGCTTACATTCCTATTTGTCTATTGACTACTTATTTGTTTGTGCTGTGAAGTGTCCATGAAGTTTATACTGGGTGAGTTGTTGGACATTGTTGGAGGCACCCAGCGTAGGCTACACAGCCTCTGCTCCCTGCAGAGGAAACTACAAAAATGTGGACAGTGCTTATTTGGGCAGGAACTAAGGGGTGTGTTTATTTTCTGCATGCATGATCAATGGGGATGAATAGTATGGGGTGGGGGATCTTGGGTGGCGGGGCAGCATGGACACAAGGCTGAGAGAGGAGGGGGCAGAAACAGGGAGGTTGGCTGACTAATGAGACTGAGGAGGACAGCAGGGAAAACAGTTACTCTGTTCCCTTTTCCAGTAAACAAAGTGTAAACTGGTTATGTGGTTCTTTATTTCTAGAACAGAAAATACTGTAGGCTACATACTAACACGTCATGCAAACACACTTTTTCTTTGATAATAAAATTACATAACTGTATATTTACTTTGTCACACCAAATGCCTGCTAGAATGTGTGATATAATGCACTGTATGGGATTAAAATGCAGTACAGACCACACTACCCCACCCCGTCTCTTTTTCTCTGGGCTGTCCTCTGAACAGTGCAAATTCAGGCACAATGTGATTTAATTACAGGGCAGTAGTGTTTCAGAGAGATAGAGGGAGCACTGTTTCCCTGAGTTTCCCCCCCTTTCAAATAGTGTACAATGCCTTCCCTAGTGTAGGGTGGGGTTAGGAGAGAGGCTGAACCGGAGGAAGCACATGGTAAGAGAGAGAGCGTTATTGGAGTTGAATCCACACTGCGAAAGCAATACTACCTATAGAGTATAGCTACAATGCCACCTGCAGGGGTTCTTAAGTATTACTGATTCAGATTTACGCATGAATTTAGACAAAGTCATTGGATGATAATACAGAACAGACGTGTGATGGTAACGACCTGTGAATCTGAAATATTTAAAATAATTAACGCAATCTTTAGTGAAAGCTTTGACGTGACATCTATGTCTGATGTAATCACAGGCAGTAAAGCATTTTCAATGAGAGAGAGGAAGGAATGAATGAGAAAAGGCTTGGAAAAAGGGGTGGGAAGATGCTTTTGTTTGGGTTTTATGGCCAGATTGTCTACTGCTCTGGGAAAGTGAAAACCCTACACTCCTCCCTTAGGTTAGGTTACCTGGGGAAGAAAAAGATCCAGGAAGAGGGTCAGAGGAAAGTGAGCAGAGAGAGACAGAACCCAAAATCAGTGAACACTAGTAGGTGTAGTCCCCTGTAGCTCAGTTGGTAGAGCATGGCGCTTGCAACGCCAGGGTTGTGGGTGCGTTTCCCACGGGGGGTACAGTATGAAAATATATGCACTCACTAACTGTAAGTCGCTCTGGATAAGAGCGTCTGCTAAATGACGTAAATGTAAAATGTGTTCTCTGGCATCTAAAAGCTACCTCTATCAGACCGTGTCTTTCTAGGATGATGCAGTAGTGCCCTCTAGTGCTGTGCAGGACAACTGCTTCTTTCAATTTATTTTGAATATATTATAAAATAAATATTATCGTTTTTAATGGGTGTATTAAGATGCAGTTTGCATATTTTTGTAACCTCTCATATATGTATTGCATTTGTGTGTTATACAGGAGCCTGTATGAATGTGCAGTTTATTTTCATTTATAGTTTGACTGCACTTTGTTCACTGTTAGGGATGGACGGAGATGGGGACAAAGTTCAAAGAAAGCGCATGGGGAGGAGGGGGAGGAAGGTAAAAAAAGACCTTTTAAAGCATAACAGCAGGTGGAGGGCTAAAACCAGACAGCTCAGCTCAGAACGGAACGAGACGAGGAGAAAATCAAACAGGGGAAAATGAAAGCAAACTTTCTCTATTCCTAAACTGAAGAAGGACAGAAATGCAATGACTCCAGAAGCCAAATCCTCTGTCTTTTGTGTAAGCGCATGACTGCAGTGTGTCTGTGTTGGTGTGTGAGTGTGTGTGTGTGCGCGTTTGTGACCTGTGGCCTGCGTAGTCTGTGTGCTGTGTTAGTGAGGTAAAGATTAGGCAACAGCGTAATGGAGGGAGAGGAGAGGAAAGGAGAAGCAGGGCCCGGCCCTGGGCGTCTGTCTGCTCTCCAGGAGCAGCTGATCTGGGCTCTGCTGAGCTCTGGACTGTCCCGGGAGGTCCTGGTCCATGCCCTGGGAGAACTGGAGCGAGAGAGGGTCACCCCTGGAGCAGAGAAGGGGGACAGGGGGGATGGCGAGAGTTCGGAGGAGGGAGAAATTGATTTTCCACCCCCCATATTCCAGGAGCTGGAGGCACTAGCCCCAGAGGAGGCAGCCAGACAGAGGGCTCTGGTCGACCAACTGCTTCAGTAAGTAGCTTCCAAATGTCTGCCATCCACCCTATCCTCCCCTTAACATACACATACATGTACAGTACATCAATCTATTCCTTTTATCAAAGCTCAAATATTAATACACACACCCATACAACAACAAAATAGCCAAATCCCTTTGCTGTGCTATTATTCTCTCACTTTATAAAAATAATGTCCAACTCATTTGTAAAAAAATATATTGGAAAACAAATACGTTTTAGTGGTTACTTGATTCTGTTTTCCATTCTCTTTCTTTTCTGCTATCTTTTCCTGTTGTTTTCTGACCAATGAAAGGTTCCAGAGTACAAACAATTGACGGTTTTACCTGGTAGCATCCTTTCTACTCCATTTCTTCGTCTTCCTCAAATTTAGTCCCCCTCTCCCCCTTCCTCCCTCGTTCTCCCTCTCCCTCTGTGAGATCTCTCTCAGCCTCTGAGGTGAATTTAAAGGAGGGTTCCTCCTTTCCTAGTTACTAATTACCCACCCCATCATTATTCTCTGTCCATTTAATGAATGAACTACATGCATGGGTTAAGATTAACAGAAATGTGCTGTGTGTGTGTGTGTGTGTGTGTGTTAGAACAGATTGAGTGAATATTTACTACTGCTTGGAAAAGCCCATTTAATTTTACCACATTTAAAACTACAACAAATATCTCAAATCAAATCAAATTTTATTGGTCACATGCGCCGAATACAACAGGTGCAGACATTACAGTGAAATGCTTACTTACAGCCCTTAACCAACAGTGCATTTATTTTTAACAAAAAAAAAGTAAAAATAAAACAACAAGATTATGGTTTAACTGCTCATTGTATATAACTAAAAGTTGGCAATTTTACAACACCTAGCATGAACACACAACTTTACCAACCATGCCTTAGTATAAAAATGCATCAAACAAAAAGCTTTTGTATGTTAACATACATTATACCTATGTTATGTACTATTGCTAGCCGTTAAGGTTTGTGTTGCAGCAAGTAGGCCATCCATATAATGTTTATGGGTTTTATTTCCAGTGACCAGAGAGAGCTGGACTTTGCCCTGCTGTGCTTCCCCTTATCTCTTATTGTCAACATCCCTCTCTCCCTCCCCCTCCCCCTCCCTCTCTTTATGCACATGTGTTTTGCCTGTGTCTGTGTATTTGTCTGTGTGTGATAGGGAGGATCCATGGCGCGTGGCAAAAGTGGTGAAGAGCTACATGCAGCAGCATAACCTCCCCCAGAGAGAGGTGGTAGAGTCCACAGGCCTCAACCAGTCCCATCTCTCCCAGCACCTCAACAAAGGCACGCCCATGAAGAACCAGAAACGGGCTGCTTTGTACAGCTGGTACGTCAGGAAGCAGGGCGAGATTAGCCAGCGTGAGTATTTGACCAGCTGATGAGCTGACCCTGCCTGTACTGCACAACAGTATGACATTACAGTCTGGACTCTATAAGTGTAACATTTATATTAGGTGAAATCATGACTACCTCATTCATTAATATTCACAATAAATTACCATAAATCTATTCGATTCCGGGCATTGGGAGCTCTTACACAAGACTGAATCTCAGGATGCAAAGAACAATTATGTCAACGGATCTTCCTTACTCTTCTTTCTCGTTCTATGTCCTTCCTTATATCCACTTTCTGGCTAATTTTCAAATAGCTTTGACGTTTGCAAACCTTCCATTTCAAACATGTAAGGAAACTGTGGTCTCCTGCTGTGTTTTCCTAATGATAGCGAAATCACAATACCTGTACCCCAATCCTTAGACTGGTAAACCCATCATGATAAATGATTCAATACGTCTGTCTGATGTAAACAACTATGGGGGCCCACTGGTCACTGGGAGTTAAATATAGACATGTAAGGTAACATGATACTGTCCACTTTCACATTCCATGTGTAGAGAGACACACAATCTGCATGTCCTATGCACATTTTACCACACACACATGCACTTATGTGTTGCATTACAAATGATCTCAAACTCTAATATAAAACATACATTCCTGTGAATTAGCCTTATTTTTGAAAATATATACAGTACCAGTCAAAAGTTTGGACACCTACTCATTCAAGGGTTTTTCTTAATTTTTACTATGTTCTACAGTTGTAGAATAATAGTGAAGACATCACAAATATGAAATAACACATATGGAATCATGTAGTAACCAAAAAAAGTGTTAAACAAATCTAAATATATTTTAGATTCTTCAAAGTAGCCACCCTTTGCCTTGATGACAGCTTTGCACACTCTTGGCATTCTCTCAACCATTTATTTCCTTCTTAATGTGTTTGAGCCAATCAGTTGTGTTGTGACAAGGTAGGGGTGGTATACAGAAGATAGCCCTATTTGGTAAAAGACCAAGTCCATATTATGGCAAGAACAGCACAAATAAGCAAAGAGAAATGACAGTCCATCGTTACTTTAAGACATGAAGGTCAGTCAATACAGAACATTTCAAGAACTTTGAAAGTTTCTTCAAGTGCAGTCGCAAAAACCATCAAGCGCTATGATGAAACTGGCTCTCATGAGGACCACCACAGGAAAGGAAGACCCAGAGTTACCTCTGCTGCAGAGGATAAGTTCATTAGAGTTACCAGCCTCAGATTGCAGCCCAAATAAATGCTTCACAGAGTTCAAGTAACAGACACATCTCAACATCAACTGTTCAAAGGAAACTGCGTGAATCAGGCCTTCATGGTCGAATTGCTGCAAAGAAACCACTACTAAAGGACACCAATAATAAGAAGAGACTTGCTTGGGCCAAGAAACACGAGCAATGGACATTAGACCGGTGGAAATCTGTCCTTTGGTCTGATGAGTCCAAATTTGAGATTTTTGGTTCCAACCTCTGTGTCTTTGTGAGACGCAGAGTAGGTGAACGGATGATCTCTGCATGTGTGATTCCCACCGTGAAGCATGGAGGAGGAGGTGTGATGGTGCTTTTCTGGTGACACAGTCAGTGATTTATTTAGAATTCAAGGCACACTTAACCAGCATGGCTACCACAGCATTCTGCAGCGTTACACCATTCCATCTGGTTTGCGCTTAGTGGGACTATCATTTGTTTTTCAACAGGACAATGACCCAAAACACACCTCCAGGCTGTGTAAGGGCTATTTGACCAGGTAGTGTGATGTAGTGCTGCATCAGATGACCTGGCCTCCACAATCACCCAACCTCAACCCAATTGAGATGGTTTGGGATGAGTTGGACCACAGAGTGAAGGAAAAGCAGCCAACAAGTGCTCAGCATACGTGGGAACTCCTTCAAGACTGTTGGAAAAGCATTCCTCATGAAGCTGGTTGAGAGAATGCCAAGAGTGTGCAAAGCTGTCATCAAGGCAAAGGGTGGCTACTTTGAAGAATCTCAAATATAAAATATATTTCGATTTATTTAACACTTTATGTGTTATTTCTTAGTTTTGATGTCTTCACTATTATTCTACAATGTAGAAAATATTATAAATAAAGAAAAACCCTGGAATGAGTAGGTGTGTCCAAACTTCTGACTGGTAGTGTACATGTAACACAATACTGTCTGAATAATGAATTATACTGATATTATAACAACATGGATACTATAACAATACAATTCATATTTATCACAAACATGCTTTCACTGACCACCCCATGCAGAGTTTACTAATGCCAGGCATGCCCTTGGGTCTGGAGAGGAGCAGGGAGAGGACGTGAGGAAGGGACGTAGGAACAGGTTCAAATGGGGACCCGCCTCCCAGGAAATCCTCTTCCACGCCTATGAACGACAGAGGAACCCAAGCAAAGAGGAGAGAGAGGGATTAGTGGAGGAGTGTAACAGGTGAGAGAAAGGGGAGAGGTCAGATAAAAACAAGAAATGTTCCCAGTTCCAGTGCAATGGAGGAACAGTCCCTGTCATTTTAGCGTGTCCCCCCCTCTCCCTCAGGGCTGAGTGTCTCCAGAGGGGTGTGTCTCCGTCCCAGCTGGCTGGCCTGGGCTCTAACCTGGTGACAGAGGTACGAGTGTACAACTGGTTCGCTAACCGCCGCAAGGAGGAGGCCTTCCGCCATAAGCTGGCTCTCGATATGCCTTACACCAGCCAATCAGCAAGCTCCACCAACCACACTCTCTCACACAGCCCTTTGCAAGGTAACACTCACTAACAGCAAAGTGAATCAAAATATTATTTCATTTAATCCACAAAGAGCATAATGAACCATTAGTGTTGTGCTCAGATGTTGCGTATGTAAGATTTTCAGTGCCCTTATACAGAGGAACAGAGCCAAGACTGACAGGGTGCAACATTCCCTCCTCCCAGAACACCTGATCCTAACTCATCCTCTCTTCCAGGCATGAAGTACAGCCAGCAAATCACATGTGACAGTCTGGGGTCATCGAGGGGTCACAATGGAGACCGAGGCATGGGGGTCCGCCTGGCCAGCCCCATTCAACTGGAGCCCAGCCACACACTCCTGGAAACACACCATCACAAACCAGTGAGATCACCTACCATTATATTATCATTAACCATATCTCACCTCGACACACATTGTCACAATCCATATTACACAATCACAAACCAGTGAGATGGGATCACAAACAACCTCTCATTGTCACAAACCAAAGATCAGCAACTATGATCACATAATCCCAATACACATCATCACCACAATACAGAGATTAGTAACTGCATCAGTGATCACAAACCATAATAAGCAAATTATTTCACAAACCATATTACATCATAATAAGCAAATGACATCACAAACCATATTATATCATAATATAAGACTGTGAGATCGCTAACCATATCATATCATCAAAAGACATAGGTCATCATGTAAGGCAGTGAAATTACAAGCCATATCACATCAAACTAGTGAGATCATAGACTACTTCACTTCGTCATAAACCTTTGGGAATACAAAACATCTCAATCCTCACAAGAATCCATGGCTGTGGTTCTAACTATCTGCCTCCAACTTTCCCATCTCAGGTATCAGGTGGTGGCCCCCTGCCCCCAGTCAGCACCCTGACCTCACTGCACAGTCTGTCTGCCTCGGCTGCTCCCCACCATGGACTCATCATGGCCTCCCTGCCCAGCGTCATGAGTCTGGGAGAGTCCTCTCTCCTCATAGGTAACCTATTCTACACACAGTCCCATCCACTCAAACGGTTCTAAGTCAGAGCATAGTTATTATTAAACGGTCATTTCAAAACATATCCACTGTATTGCATGATGATCAGAAAGTTGTCACATATAAACTGTAACTGACATTAACAAAGCAGCCTAATCCATGTTTTCCTGGCCTATATTGGTCAACAGGTCAAACTGTACCTGTCATCAACAACGTGGGAGGTGGGTTCACCACCCTTCAGCCAATCTCATTCCAGCAGCAGCTTCATTCCACTTCCCAGCAGCAACTCACACAGCAGTTCCAGAGTCATATGGGCCACAGTCCTTTCATGGCAACCATGGCACAGCTTCCATGCCACAGTAAGGCCACAGTGGCAGCATGTTACTCCTTCATTTGCCCTTTGACAGAAATACCTTATGTGAAACAAGGAATGAGTGAGAGCAACTGAATAGAACTGCTAGAACTAAGGAGGGTTTCATAAAGTACCTCAGCGCCTGCTCTCAATTTCTCCATTGTAGTGTACAGCAAGTCTGATATGTCCCACTACCCTCCGTCCAGCCTACTGTCCCAAGCCATGGTCATCACTGACAGCAGCAGCCTTGGAACACTGACCAGTCTAACCACAGTCAGACAGGTACTGTGATTCCAAACATTCACCTAAATGAAAGCGATGTCATTAATAATCAGTTGCACAAGTCAGAGTATACAGGTACAGAAAAGTCTAGACTCACTAGCTAATGATCAGAAGTAGTATTAAATGTGGGTTGAATCTGCTAATGACTTTTGCATTGGTTAGATTCTGACCACAGACCCTGAGGAGCAGACAGACCAGCCCATCCAAGAGGACTCCCTACACCTGCAGTCCCCTTCACCTGTGCCAGGTAAGATAAAACATGTTACTCTAAGTGTAGACTATTTCCCTAAAGATGCAGTTTCTTACACTACACTACAGGGGAGACTGAAGACATCTAAAAAAGCTACTAAGTGTGTAACACATATTTCAAAGTCATCTTAATACATCTAGATAGTGGTAAATATAACCCATGGTATTCTCTAGTTGCCAGTCAAAAAAGGGCATTTTAAATGCAGGGTTGTAATTGGAATGACAGTAGAGAAACTGGAAACGAATAACTTACCATCTGTCTTTCTTAGTTTCCTCTGGGAACTTACAGCTGTATCCTCCATCTCAGTCTAGTGAAACTCATCCACCTCACCGCCTCTCCTCTTCGCCAGCAGACATCAACTCCTACATTCCTGCACAGATGGTCTCTACCGCACAGTAGCAACAGAATGTAATCACTATGTAATGTGAAGGGGTGGGAGTAGTAAGTAGAGAACTGTAATAGAGATGCAACGCAAATTCTCAAAAACTACCTCTGCAGTAAAATTATCCAGAGAAACCATATTTCCCATTCTGCGAGATACATAAATCCAGGACAGACTCACTGCCAGTTACCAGTCTCGTCACTTGAATTAGCGGCCTTACTATTACATAGACCAGTGTACTCAGTGTGTCAGTCTGCTGATCTGAGGTCAGGGATAAACCATTAGAAAGAGCCACATCTAAATCCATGCAAAACAGAGAACGCTGAGCAATTGATCCCCATTTTACAATAAACTTATGTTATCAATAGAAAAAAGTGTTTTAATAAAAATGATCTAAGAATTCAGTGTGAACTGCTTTCTTTACAAAACAAGGCATAGCACTGATTGTGTTTTGGGCAGAGAAAATAGGTAATAAAATACAGTATGCCACATTTCTGAAAGATCATATTGCATTCCAGAAAAGAACAAACTACGAAGTTGTACAACATTGCAGTGATTATTTCCAGAAAATAACAGTGTATGACCTGACCATGTTATAATGAATGCTAAGATTCCTAAGTACAACAGGTTAACAGTTCTTACAAGTATGGAACAAACAGCCAATATCCTAAATCACAACACACAAGTTCAGAAGTCTCTCAGTGCTTTTCTACTTCCACCCTTTCATCTGTGCCTTTTTATTTTTCTTCTTGACCTTCAGGGGTAGACTGTCCTCCTCGGGGCTCTTCTGCTCCTCCTCTGTTTTAGCATAAGGTGAGGCTTCTCCACAGTTCTCTACCTCTCCAAACTCCCCGTGGGAAGCTGTCCTTTTCTTATTTTTCTTTGGAACAGGGCTGTTATTACTGTGCTCTCTTTCTGCCTCCTCTCCTGCCTGAACCTTGTATTTCTTCTTCTTCTTCTTCTTCTTAATTTTCTCAGAGCTGAGGGACTCAGGCATGGAAGGTGTAACCGCACTGGGGAGAGCCGATGATAGGAGGTCTGTAACTGACACTGCTGCCTCTCTCAGTCTCATCTCCAGCTCACTGTCACTGTCACTAGAAGAACATTGCAGAAACAAACACTAAACTGTTTATTACAGTAGTATTACAATATGAGATACAGGAATATTACAATCATGCAATGCTACTGTAAGGATTCCTTCACAAAGTAGGAATGAAAATTACATAAAACCACCTCACACAACCCAAAGGTTAAAAGGCCAGGCCTACATAGAACAAGCATCACCTTGAGCTGGGGATGGGGCGGCGCCTTACAGGAGGGGGGGGGGGGATCAATGGTAAACTCTCCTGGGACAGATGTGGTGAACAGCCGGAAACCTTAAAACCAAGACATAAGATCAAGACCCCATCCAGCATTTATATCACGTCATATCTGACAACACATCATACAGTTCGTAACTACTGCATCAGTTTCAATGCAAAACAATTTCTCGATAAACCCTCACCTTCTTCATCTTCACATTTGGTTGACGCTGTGCAGGGTTTTGATGTTTCTGCAGATATCAATGAAATGCAACTGAAAATCAAATTGCATAGTTAGATTAAAGTAGGCAACTGAAAAGTTGACAGGTGGAGGTAACATGAGGCAAAGGCTATAGGTAGCTATAATAGTAAAACTGATGTTTCATCAAACATTTTCCCATGACAAAGAATAAATACTGTACCTGTCAAGTATAGCCCCTAATTTCTTTGCAACGTGCGCACGGAACTCCGGGGTCGTCTGAAGCTCGTTCCCATCATGTTCATGTTTAGATACAGCCACACTGTTGACCATAGCATTACATAAAACACTATTATTCTGGCAAAGCCAAACGTGAGGCAGAACCTCTATGCATGTTGGTGAATCATAATAATACAGAGGAGATAGCATGCCATTCGGAGAAAAGGAAAACTTACCGACGGGATAGCTTCCCATTGCTTTCCCCATCTAAAAACAACAGTAGTTATATTACTGTTAAGATTTCGCTGCTGTTTTGGGGTAAGATAGATTTGCTCACTAACTAAAGACTTCACACACTAAGATATCTCCCACCCCACATTTGTTGTTGACTAGCGTTAGCTAGCTACATCCTGGGTCTTAGTTAAAGCAAAGGTTATTTAATGTTAGGCTGAATTTACCTGCCGTGTTGGTACCATTAGTTCCATATGTGCCAAAACTCCAAGCTGCTTCCTTAAACTTTTCCAGATCTTCATCTTCACTGCTCGAGTCTTCAACCACAGTTCCAACCGGGGCTGACATGTTGGATCAAGTACATGTGCGGCTACAGAGCAATGCACTATGGGTAATGAAGTATTTCGGGAGGGGGGGGGGGGGGGTCAGTGTAGTGAGACTTTGATGAGTGAACTTAAGCCAAACTGTATACCAATTTTTTATTTATTTCCCCCTCTCCTGACAGTATATCATCTTACAGAAACAAAAAAATTGAACAGAACATAAAAGGCAATGTTAGGAGGGCTTCTAGATCTACCAGATCCTCACCAAGTACACATCCAATGATGTAGACAACAGTATTTGATATGGAGTCTATATGGTCCCTGAAATGTAACATTCAAAAGACAGCAAACTTTGTAATAATGTTGAATAAAATCTAACTTTGAGATTTGTCTGTCGTAAAACACATTCATCAATAGGTAAAAATACAATATGATCAATAAAAATCAAAGGGGTTCCAGTTTACACAGCATGCAGGTTCAATATGTGGTCCTCTGTAGCTCAGCTGGTAGAGCACGGCGCTTGTGACGCCAGGGTAGTGTGTTCGATCCCCGGGACCACCCATACACAAAAAAAAAATTATGCACGAATGACTAAGTCGCTTTGGATAAAAGCGTCTGCTAAATATTATATTATTATAAGAGTGAAAAATGATATCAGTAGCGACCATGTTGTAAAAGCCATAATTAGTGTTCATTTGGTGGTGCTATTAATAAAACATAATACAAAAATGGTGCCTGCTATCACAGACCTTCCATCAGTAAAGGTAAAGAACAGACGCACCTCAAGTCTCTAAAGTGGATAACATCACAGCCATTTCATCATACATACCACAGGAGGTTTGGGGGCTCGTGGTAATGGCTGGAGCGGAATCAGTGGAACGGTATCAAACACATGGTTTCCATTTGTTTGATGCCATTCCATTGGCGCCTTTCCAGCCATTATTATGAGCCATCCTCCCCTCAGCAGCCTCCACTGATACATGCACTATACCTTCCACTGGGCATTATGACCTGTATAGGTATAATTTCATAGCTAATCTCTCGTGGACAGATGAAACGGCGAGAATCTGTCAAGGGCGAGGATATGTCGATGCTCACGTACAATTATGTGATTACGAGCAGCAGTAGTAAAACAGGAAATTACAAACTTTCACAACAATTTCACTTCTGGGTTACTGATATTATTTTATAGCTGACTGGGATATGCTTAGAATGAATTCACAAAAATGTGATGTTGTTGGACAGATGTGTAGCGGAGCACAGCTGGACTTCACATGGATTTCTCTCTCACACACACACACACAACAAAGCCTCTTGAGCTGAGAAGTCTGAATACAAGGCACATGGGGTAGGTTTCATTTAGTGTTGGAAAACTCAGTATAACTCCAGCAGGCACAAACACACTACAAGTACATTTACAGTGCTGTTACAAATGCAAAAAACACTTAAAATACCAGGGGTGTTGTCTATCACTTACTACCAGGCAGTTAATACAAAAATGTCTCCTTATGGTCAACTGGGATTATTGGTTGTATACACTGAGTGTACCAAACATTAAGAACAACTTCCTATTATTGAGTTGCACCCCCCCATTGCCCTCAGAACAGCCTCAATTTGTCAAGGCATGGACTCTACAAGGTGTCGAAAGCATTCCAGAGGAATGCTTCCCACAGTTGCTCAAGTTGGCTGGATGTCCTTTGGGTGGTGGACCATTCTTGATACACACAGGAAACTGTTGAGGGTGAAAAACCCAGCAGTGTTTGTGACACAAACCTGACACCTACTACCATATCCCGTTCAAAGGCACTTAAATATTTTGTCGTGCCCATTCACCCTCTGAATGGCACACACACAATCCATGTCTCAAGGCTTGAAAGTCCTTCTTTAACCGGTCTCCTCTCCTTCATCTACACTGATTGAAGTGAATTTAACAAGTGACATCAATAAGGGATCATAGCTTTCACCTGGTCAGTCTGTCATGGAAAGAGCAGGTGTTCATGTTTTGTGCACTCAGTGTATACAGCTAGAGGTGACATGGGACACCCAATACGAATAATAAAGCTTATACCAAGGCAAAATTTCAAATTCATGGAGCATCTGTTAGTCTCAAAGCTGAATATACAGTTTAGCCCACTATCTGAGGAGGGAAGACATAGCAAAGGATCATGATTGCTACTTGAGTAGTGAAAATTGATGAATGACCAGAACCAAACTATTGTTCAAATTAGGTAGTAATTTGGCGTGACCCTGGACAACACCCTGTCGTTCTCCGCTAACATCAAAGCGGTGACCCGATCCTGCAGGTTCATGCTCTACAACATTCGCAGAGTACGACCCTACCTTACACAGAAAGCGGCACAGGTCCTAATCCAGGCACTTGTCATCTCCCGTCTGGATTACTGCAACTCGCTGTTGGCTGGGCTCCCTGCCTGTGCCATTAAACCCCTACAACTTATCCAGAACGCTGCAGCCCGTCTGGTGTTCAACCTTCCCAAGTTCTCTCATGTCACCCCGCTCCTCCGCACACTCCACTGGCTTCCAGTTGAAGCTCGCATCTACTACAAAACCATGGTGCTTGCCTACAGAGCTGAGGGGAACGGCACCTCCTTACCTTCAGGCTCTGATCAGACCCTACACCCAAACGAGGGCACTATGTTCATCCACCTCTGGCCTGCTGGCTCCCCTACCTCTACGGAAGCACAGTTCCCGCTCAGCCCAGTCAAAGCTATTCGCTGCTGTGGCACCCCAATGGTGGAACAAGCTCCCCCACGACAGCGGAGTTACTGACCACCTCCGGAGACACTTGAAACCCTACCTCTTTAAGGAATACCTGGAATAGTCTAACAGTAATCATTTTACACCCCCCCCCCTTCCCCAGTGGTGGTTGCCCCACTGGCTATCCTAAGTTGAATGCACCAATTTGTAAGTCGCTCTGGATAAGAGCGTCTGCTAAATGACTTAAATGTAAATGTAGTATCACAGTTGTAATTGGCTTGCAATCCAATTGTGCCATCTGTCAACCCTTTGTGTGTACAAAATAACATAAAACCTGGTCAACTTCAATCAGTGTTCATTTTACAGGCTAAAAATGACCGGTATTCAACATTCAGATTGGGATCATGTAATTTTCCCTGTCGAGCTGTCTGGTAACAGAGTGGACTAAACGCAGTACAACTCAAAAACAAGGATATTGCAACAAATACTGAACTCAAGGCAGATTGAAATAAGCAGTAAAGTAACCATTTAAAATGTGGAAACATTAGAAAAGATTCAAAGGAAAACATGTTCAACATTACAAAAGAGTGATTGACAAGAGTTTCCTATGAGTCCCAGCAATAGATGGGTACGAGGTATCAAATAAATGAAGCAACTTGTTTTGAAGGCAGATATGGTCCTGTTTTCCCAAACCTGGGACTGGTAAGGTTTGTTGGAATGTCTGAAGTGGAGAAAGTACACTCCTGTTCCCAAAAGGGCAACATGGATGGTTGTATTCAGGGGCAATGTGACCCCTGCGTTGCATTGCACACAAGAAGCTAATCTTCAGGCACTACTGGCCCCCATCGTAGGCGTAGTCTGCCTTATTGTGCATGATCAGTTTGTTGTCCACAAAATAGAAGCTGTCTGACCTGGTCTCATACGGGTGCTCCACCATTAGGCAAACTTAAAAGAAAGAGACAAAAAAGAAGGAATTTCAGTTTGCAAATGACTTCATAAGGAACAGCAGAACACACATAGCTGACAAAGTAAATGACTGCTGTTCAGCGCACAAAAATAAACAACCTGTAGGGGAACCATGTGACTGTCTAGTATCCACATTGCTCCCCTTACAATGAGAGTCGCCTGACTGACTCTGTATGGATGTGTATAGTGTAGATTTACAGACTTGGCCAGCTATGTTGTGGCCAGTCTGAACTTTAGCTTGTAGGGACCCACACAGGCTACAACAAAGTTGATAGACAAAGTGAGAGAGGGCATTGCTGGATGACAAAGATAGGTACGCTATTCCTACTAGTAGACTTACTGAGGTCCTCATGGAGCTGGGGAAACTCATAGATGTGTTCGCAAGTGTTGCGGCTGTTTGGGATGCAGAATCCAAAGTCAAAGTCAAAGTTCTTGAGAACTTTATTCTGGAAATAATGCCTCTCTATCATGCGAAAGCTGTTAACAGGCTGGTCCCCCACGGTGAACTCCACACTGAAAGCAGAGTAGAAAGAGAGGCACTTGAGATACTAGCAGGGACATGCTGAACATAACTGTGGGTGCTACCTGCATTAAATTGCTTTAACTATTTGAATTGTAGATTTATTCATTGACCATTTATTTTCCTTTTTAAAGTCTAAAAGTAGGATGATTCTTTCAATAGTCTTGTTCCCAGCTGTGTGCTCTGCCAAATCCTCTCTGTTGTAGTTTAAGTGGTTGCCAGAGCTGCAAGACTCAGTTTATTGTGCTGGTAAGCCACACCAGCAAACGAAACATAACATAATTTGTCAGCATAAGGGAAAGCACATACTATGGAACATTTAGGCCTAACCACAGTATGTGGTTTTTCAATGATGAGTCGTATGATTCATAATAATGATAATGCATGTAATGTTTCCTGTTTAATCCACTGACTTACGTTGCACCAACAGTCCGCAGTCTGAGGAAGGCTGGTGTAAACTGATACCGCACAAAGCGCCCAGCACTGGTGTCTCCGTCTCCATTCTCCTCATCTTCAGGGTCTGATAAAGAGAACATGGATTCAAATGTAATTGGCATCCAAATAAGTGACAACAGGTCATCTCTGATTTCAACCTAAAATTATATCTACAACATTTGCGTAAGGACTACATTAATTATCATAGAGGGAATAACTTGGCTTGTTTGGTTTTACTTGAAATAATAGACAGATTAATTTAGTCTGGGCCCTTCTGAGTAGACTCAGAATCCAATTATATTTGTCACATACACATGTTTAGCAGATGTTATTGTGTTTCTAGCTCCAACAGCTTCTAGCTCTAACAATTCACAACAATACACACAACCTAAAAGTAAAATAATGGAATTAAGGATTATATAAATATTAGAAATATTAGGACGAGCAATGTCGGAGTGGCATAGACTAAAATACAGTAGAATAGAGTACAGTATATACAGTTGAAGTCGGAAGTTTACATACACCTTAGCCAAATACATTTAAACTCAGTTTTTCACAATTCCTGACATTTAATTAATAATTCCCTGTCTTAGGTCAGTTAGGATCACCACTTTATTTTTAAGAATGTGAAATGTCAGAATGATAGTAGAGAGTGATTTATTTAAGCTATTATTTATTTCATCACATTCCCAGTGGGTCAGAAGTTTACATACACTCAATTAGTATTTGGTAGCATTGCCTTTAAATTGTTTAACTTGGGTCAAACGTTTCGGGTAGCCTTCCACAAGCTTCCCACAATAAGTTGGGTGAATTTTGGCCCATTCCTCCTGACAGAGCTAGTGTAACTGAGTCAGGTTTGTAGGCCTTTTTCAGTTCTGCCCACAAATGTTCTATAGGTTTGAGGTCAGGGCTTTGTGATGGCCACTCCAATACCTTGACTCTATTGTCCTTAAGCCATTTTGCCACAACTTTGGAAGTATGCTTGGGGTCACTGTCCATTTGGAAGACCAATTTGCAACCAAGCTTTAACTTCCTGACTGATGCCTTGAGATGTTGCTTCAATATATCCACATAATTTTCCTTCCTCATGATGCCATCTATTTTGTGAAGTGCACCAGTCCCTCCTGCAGCATAGTACCCCTACAGCATGATGCTGCCACCCCCGTGCTTCACGGTTGGGATGGTGTTCTTCGGCTTGCAAGCAACCCCCTTTTTCCTCCAAACATAACAATGGTCATTCTGGCCAAACAGTTCTATTTTTGTTTCATCAGACCACATGACATTTCTCCAAAAAGTACGATCTTTGTCCCCATATGTGCAGTTGCAAACCGTAGTCTGGCTTTTTTATGGCGGTTTTGGAGCAGTGGCTTATTCCTTGCTGAGCGGCCTTTCAGGTTATGTCGATATAGAACTCGTTTTACTTTGGATATAGATACTTTTGTACCTGTTTCCTCCAGCATCTTCACAAGGTCCTTTGCTGTTGTTCTGGGATTGATTTGCACTTTTCGCACCAAAGTACGTTCATCTCTAGGAGACAGAACGCGTCTCCTTCCTGAGCAGTATGACGGCTGCGTGGTCCCATGGTGTTTATACTTGCGTACTATTGTTTGTACAGATGAACGTGGTACCTTCAGGCGTTTGGAAATTGCTCCCAAGGATGAACCAGACTTGTCGAGGTCTACAATTGTTTTTCTGAGGTCTTGGCTGATTTCTTTTGATTTTCCCATGATGTCAAGCAAAGAGGCACTGAGTTTGAAGGTAGGCCTTGAAATACATCCAAAAGGTACACCTCCAATTGACTCAAATTATGTAAATTAGCCTATCAGAAGCTTCTAAAGCCATGACATCATTTTCTGGAATTTTCCAAGCTGTTTATAGGCACAGTCAACTTAGTGTATGTAAACTTCTGACCCACTGGAATTGTGATACAGTGAATTATAAGTGAAATAATCTGTCTGAAACAATTGTTGGAAAAATTACTTGTGTCATGCACAAAGTAGATGTCCTAACAGACTTGCCAAAACTATAATTTGTTAACAAGAAATTTGTGAAGTGGTTGAAAAACAAGTTTTAATGACTCCAACCTAAGTGTATGTAAACTTCCGCCTTCAACTGTACATATGAGATGAGTAAAGCAAAAATAGGTAAACAGAGTTACTAGTGTTCCATTATTAAAGTGGCCAGTGATTAAGTCTATGTATATGGCGCAGCAGCCTCTAAGGTGCAGGGTTACGTAACCGGGTGGAAACCGCCTAGTGATGGCTATTTAACAGTCTGATGGCCTTGAGATAGAAGCTGTTTTTCAGTCTCTCGGTCCCAGCTTTGATGCACCTGTACTGACCTCGCCTTCTAGATGATAGCGGGGTGAACAGGCAGTGGCTTGGGTGGTTGTTGTCCTTTATGATCTTTTTGGCCTTCCTGTGACATCGGGTGCTGTAGGTGTCCTGGAGGGCAGGTAGTTTGCCCCCGGTGATGCGTTGGGCAGACCGCACCACACTCTGGAGAGCCCTGCGGTTGTGGGCGGTGCAGTTGCCGTACCAGGCGGTGATACAGCCCGACAGGATGCTCTCAATTGTACATCTGTAAAAGTTTGAGAGGGTTTTCGGTGCCAGCCTCCTGAGGTTCTTCACAACGCTGTCTGTGTGGACCATTTCAGATCGTCAGTGATGTGTATGCCGAGGAACTTGAAGCCTTCCACCTGCTCCAAGGCGGTCCCGTCGATGTGGATAGGGGCATGCTCCCTCTGCTATTTCCTGAAGTCCATGATCAGCTCCTTTGTTTAGTCGATATTGAGGGAGAAGTTATTGTCCTGGCACCACACTCCCAGGGCCTTCACCTCCTCTCTGTAGGCTGTCTCGTCATTGTTGGTAATCAGGCCTACTACTGTTGTGTCGTCTGGAAACTTGATGATTGAGTTCAAGGTGTGCGTGGCCACACAGTCATGGGTGAACAGGGAGTACAGGAGGGGGCGGAGCACGCACCCTTGTGGGGCCCCTGTGTTGAGGATCAGCAAAGTGGAGATGTTGTTTCCTACCTTCACCACCTGGGGGCGGCCCGTCAGGAAGTCCAGGACCCAGTTGCACAGGGCGGGGTTCAGACCCAGGGCCCCGAGCTTAATGATGTGCTTGGAGGGTACTATGGTGTTGAATGCTGAGCTATAGTCAATGAACAGCATTCTTACATAGGTATTCCTCGTCCAGATTGGATAGTGCAGTACGATGGCGATTGCATCGTCTGTGGATCTATTGGCGCGGTAAGCAAATTGAAGTGGGTCTAGGGTGACAGATAAGGTAGATGTGATATGATCCTTAAGTAGCCTCTCAAAGCACTTCATGATGACAGAAGTGAGTGCTACGGGGCGATAGTCATTTAGTTCAGTTACCTTTGCTTTCTTGGGTACAGGAACAATGGTGGACATCTTGAAGGAAGTGGGGACAGCAGACTGGGATAGGGAGAGATTGAATATGTCCGTAAACACTCCAGCCAGCAGGTCTGCGCATGCTCTGAGGACACGGCTAGGGATGCCGTCTGGGCCGGCAGCCTTACGAGGGATAACACTCTTAAATGTCTTACTCACGTCGGCCACGGAGAGCCCAGAGTCCTTGGTAGCGGGCCGCGTCGGTGGCCCTGTGTTAACCTCAAAGCGGGAGAAGGTGTTTAGCTTGTCCGGAAGCAAGACGTTGGTGTCCGCGACGTGGCTGGTTTTCCTTTTGTAGTCCGTGATTGTCTGTAGACCCTGCCACATACGTCTCGTGTCTGAGCCGTTGAATTACGACGCCACTTTGTCTCTGTACTGACGTTTTGCCTGTTTGATTGCCTTACGTAGGGAATAACTACACTGTTTGTATTTGGCCATATTCCCAGTCACCTTGCCATGGTTAAATGCAGTGGTTCGTGCTTTCAGTTTTGCGGGAATGCTGCCATCTATCCACAGTTTCTGGTTAGCGTAGGTTTTAATAGTCACAATGGGTACAATATCTCCTATACACTTCCTAATAAACTCAGTCACCGTATCCGTGTATTCGTTGATGTTACCTGGAACATATCCCAGTCTGCATGTTCAAAACAATCTTGAATCGTGGATTCCGATTGGTCAGACCAGCGTTGAACAGTACTTAGCACGGGTACTTCCTGTTTGAGTTTCTGCCTATAGGAAGGGAGGAGCAAAATGGAGTCGTGATCAGATTTGCAGAAGAGAGGGCAGGGGAGGGCCTTGTAGGAATCCCGGAAGTTGGAGTAGCAGTGGTCGAGTGTTTTAGCAGCGCGAGTACTACAGTCAATGTGTTGATGGAACTTCAGTAGCGTTTTCCTCAAATTTGGCTTTGTTAAAATCCCCAGCTACAATAAATGCAGCCTCAGGATGTGGTTCCAGTTTGCATAAAGTCCAGTGAAGTTCTTTGAGGGCCGTCGTGGTATCGGCTTGAGGGGGAATATACACAGCTGTGACTATAACCGAAGAGAATTCTCTTGGGAGGTAATACAGTCGGCATTTGATTGTGAGGTATTCTAGGTCAGGTGAACAAAAGGACTTGAGTTCCTGTATGTTATCACAATCACACCATGAGTGGTTAATCATGAAACAAACACCCCTGCCTTTCTTCTTCCCGGATAGTATATTATTTCTGTCTGTGCGATATACTGAGAACCCAGCTGGCTGTATGGACAAAGACAGTATATCCCGAGAGAGCCATGTTTCCGTGAAACAGAGTATGTTACAATCCCTGATGTCTCTCTGGAAGGAGATTCTCGCCCTGAGCTCGTCTACTTTATTATCCAGAGACTGAACATTAGCAAGTAATATACTCGGAAGCGGTGGATGGTGTGCGCGCCTCCTGAGTCGTTCTGTGTATGATGATATGACATCATCATACACGGCGGGGCAACTTCCTGCTTACTAAACTAATGCTCAAATCTGCCAAAACTATGGGCTGTCCCAATATATACCTTCCAATGAGGCAAGTCCACATTGTAAAGAGCCAAGTGTCATGTGTGGCAGATTTCAGCATTCGTTTTGTGCCCCAACCTAACCCCAGTGCATCGGTTAGCAATGACTGCAATGGTTTCAGCAGCTGGGGTGTCTCACAGATTGAGCCTGGTGCCCTGTTCAAGCTGACAGTGACCCCGGCTTGATTTCTATAAGCAGAAAGTCACGCCAGTATGTATTATGATGATGGCATATTGCGGAGTTTACCTTTTAAGATGTGGCCTATTCAAGATCTGTCATTTATGTTGTGGCAAAGTGTTGTGGAAAAGTTTTAAACTTCATGTTGGGCAAGAGATATTTGAGCTTACCACAGTTGTGAGGTTTAGCAATCTCGAATAGCACTGTCCCAGTCTCCAGATCTCTGATCTTGAAACGTGTGAAGTCAATATTGTAGACATTGTCCTCAGGTTTACATAGATAATCTGGAAGGAAATTCGTAGTAAGCGGCACATACAGACAGGGAATCTGGTGTGTTCACAGATTCTTTGTTTGGCTTCCTCAAAACATTGTGGAAACTTAGCTAGCTAGTTAAAGTCAACTAACTCACTACAAAGCGAGGTATGCAGTGTTGTTGTGCAGCCACATCAAGTTAGCTAGCTAGCCAACTAGTTAACACGCTAGCTAGCTAGATGAGCTAGAATAAGAATAGATGGCTACATTGATTAACTTGAATCTTATCCAAATCCCATCTATCATCAGCTCCAATCAATCCGCTCCATACTAGCTACAGATTGTTACACCAGATAAAGTGATTAAACCAAAGGTTTTTGGTATCCATTATTGGGAGTTACAGGTTAAGTACTGTTTGGTGTAGCACACAGAATTTGACCAACCTTAACTTGGCGATACTATCTTCGTTCTCGATTCAGCCAAACATGTACACTGAACAAAAATATAAAACGCAACATGCAACAATTTCAAAGCTTGGGAATGAGTATAAGGGAATCAGTCAATTGAAATAAATTCATTAGGCCCTAATCTATGGATTTCATATGACTGAGAATACAGATATGCATCTGTTGGTCACAGATACCTTAAAAAGAAAGACGGGGGCATGGATCAGAAAACCAGTCAGTATCTGGTGTAACCACCATTTGCTTCATGCAACACGACATCTCCTTCACAGAGTTGATCAGGTTGTTGATTGTGGCCTGTGGAATGTTGTCCCACTCCTCTTCAATGGCTTTGCGAAGTTGCTGAATATTTACATTTTAGTCATTTAGCAGACACTCTTATCCAGAGTGACTTACAGTAGTGAATGGATACATTTTAATTGGTACTGGTGCCCCGTGGGAATCGAACCCACAACCCTGGCATTGCAAGTGCCATGCTCTACCAACTGAGCCACACAGGACCACAGGATATTGTCGGGAACTGGAACACGCTGTCGTACACGTCGATCCAGAGCATCCCAAACATACTCAATGGGCGACATGTCTGGTGAGTATGCAGGCCATGGAATAACTGGGACACTTTAAGCTTCCAGGAATTGTGTACAGATCTGTGCAAAACATGGGGCCGTACATGGAGGTGGATGAATGGCACGGTATCTCTGTGCATTCAAATTGCCGTTGATAAAATGCAATTGTGTGTTCGTTGTCCGTAGCTTATGCCTGCCCATACCATAACCCCACCGCCACCATGGGGCACTCTGTTCACAACATTGACATCAACAAACCGCTTACCCACACAACGCCATACGCCCGTTACAGTTGAAACCGGGATTCATCCCTGAAAAGCACACTTCTCCAACATGCCAGTGGCCTTCAAAGGTCAGCATTTGCCCACTGAAGTTGGTTATGATGCCGTCAGGTCAAGACCCCGGTGCAGTCAGGTCAAGACCCCGGTGAGGACGACGAGCGCGCAGATGAGCTTCCCTGAGACGGTTTCTGACAGTTTGTACAGAAATTATTTGGTTGTGCAAACTCACTGTTTCATCAGCTGTCTGGGTGGCTGGTCCCAGACGATCCCGCAGGTGAAGAAGCCGGATGTGGAGGTCCTGGGCTGGCGTGGTTACACTTGGTCTGCGGTTGTGAGGCCGGTTGCACGTACTGCCAGATTCTCAAAAATGACATTGGAGGCGACTTATGGTAGAGAAATGAACATTAAATTCTGATGGACATTCCTGCAGTCAGCATGCCAATTGCACGCTCCCTCAAAACTTGAGACATCTGTGGCATTGTGTTGTGTGACAAAACTGCACATTTTAGAGTGGCCTTTTATTGTCCCCAGCACAAGGTGCACCTGTGTAATGATCATGCTGTTTAATCAGCTTCTTGATATTCCACATCTGTCAGGTCTATGGATTATCTTGGCAAAGGAAAAATGCTCACCAAACAGGGATGTAAACATTTGTGCACAACATTTTAGAGAAATAAGCTTTTTGTGCTTATGGAACATTTCTGGGATCTTATTTCAGCTCATTAAACATGGGACCAACACTTTACCTGTTGCATTTATATTTTTGTTCAGTGTATCTTCTAAAATGTCTGTGTCCAGTTGCAGGTGGTGCGTTTGAATTTAGAAAATGCTCCTTTATTAAAATTAACCAATTTTTTGTTCCATTAAGTAATCCAACATTGTGTATGCAGCCATCTTGGCCATTTCAAATCTTCACTCATTGATTTAGACAGGTGTGTCCAACCCCAAATTCAAACGCACTACCTACAACTGGACACGGACAACTGTGCTACATCAAACAGTAACTAACTCCCAGTAATGGATACCAAAAGTAATTGGTTAAATCACATTATATGCTTTAACAATCTGTAGCTAACTCCAAACATACCCCGTGTAACAGCACACAGACCAAGGATTTCATCTGGTGTGATGTCTCTTCCTAGCGCCCTGAGTTCCTCTTCTGTAACAGGCCGCTGTTTATCAGTTTGATTTCGTCGCGACTTGAGTCTATTCATCACATCTCCACCGGACTTTCGCTCCCTGGAATTTGCAGCCGGCCCCATATCGGTGTCCGGTCCATTAACTGTGGCTACCGTCTTGTTCCGAGAGTTAGAGCCGCTCATGTCTTGGTTGTTCTGTGTTTGTTTAGGCGACTGCGTGGATGGCTGGCTACAACTTTCACTAAATTCAAGATGGCGAAGCGTCTCTATGGACAACCTATGCTGAGCACAGTCGATTGTAATTGGCTGAAAACGCTAGGTGGTTACCATAGTTACCAGTAGGGCAGAATGTTCAAAAACTTGAGGCTAGGTAAAAAACTGTTTTTGAATCTTTAACCTAGGTTGCAGGTAAATGGAATTCCAACCAGGGAACACCGGAGTATGGTACAACTTCATGAAAATGGTTTCACTATACCAATGTAGTTTAAGTTTGCCCATGCTTTTTATTCATCATCTCTCATTACCTCTCTCAAACGCATTACTGTTATTTCACCCTACCGACCATACATTTCCCATGTCCCTCCCATAGAAGTATAATATAATTGTAGTTCTCATTACTTGTGATGACTGCAGTACCTCAGTGATACAGCATGTTGAACCGTTCAGTTATGAGGGTGGGGTACTACAATAACCCTAAGGATAGTAGAACATGGGATAAATCATAACAAAGAAACCATTTGCTAAAACACCAGTAAGATAGAATAGCACATTTATTAAAAAGAGACAGCATTTATCAGCAGTTCCCACTTTGTAGTTGTTATTTGCAGAGCCAAAAAGTAAGGTGGGGGCATCTCAAATTACTCCATCAGTCCACCTGCTGCCTAAAGCCCTCAGGGGTGGGAGAAATCAATAAGGAGAGTAGGATTCCTTACTGACATTGATCACTTTCTCTCACACACATTCACACTAATTCATACATACTCTGTGATTATGACTGTGTGTGGAGCACAAGAGTGTATGATTGTTGTCTGTCTGTACCTCAGTGGTGATAATGGGAGAGTGATGTAGCTAAATGTATTTATTGAAGACTTAGGCCTACATATCTATATGACGGCAAGCCTTTGTTTCTTATCCGAGGTGAGCTCATGTAGGGTTAGGATTTTTGCACACTAGGACTTTCCTGGGCAAAAATAAATAAAATAACCATGCAATTAAGTAATCAAAAGCACACCAAAAAAAGGAACCTCAAAGCAGATAATGGTAAAGCACAAATGTATTGAAAACCAAGGCAACAAGGAATCAATCAAAACAAAAATTACACACAAATGCTTTGAAAATAAACCAGTTAAAACATCATGGTAAAACTTTTTTTTTTTTTTTTTTTAGATCCTGAGGAAAATGTTAAAGCTACAACTCTTTATTAATCATTTAACAAATATCAAGATTAAACCCCACGTTCTTACTTAAATTATACAATATAAAATGTAAAGAATTCCATACTACGCTAATCACATTTCTCTTCCTGACAGTCAGTGTTCACCTGGCTGTCATGCCCAGCAGAAAGGCCACAGTCTTCTTTACAATTAACCATTAAAAAACCCTAACACCTCAATAATAACAATTTAGATGAAAAAATAACTGCTATCACACTACAATAAGTGTGATATTGTACCATACAGTATATACACACGCAACTGTGTAGAGATTAGATTAGCCAACAAACAAAATATTATGACTTTGGTGCTGAATTAAATGACGTTTTTGCAGTTTTTCAACTAAGGAACAAAGGTGCTTCTGATTTATTTATGGATTGTTTATATATAAAAAAAAACACAAACCAAACAACTACTATCAGATGACTATCAAGTATTGTAACATCCCCTGGCTGTTTTTTCCAGCAGCATGGAACATGGAGAGGGAAACCTCAGGAGTGAGGGGATTTACAACACATGGATCATCTATTTGTCAAGTATTCAACGAGTATGAAATCAATGACAAGTGTGGAGAGGCTTGGGGGAACATAAGACAAGTCAGTAAAATAGGCTTGGTAAAATACGTGTCATTCTTGGAAAGAGGTACGTTCTTGATACAGAGGCAATTGGACACACAAAAACAATGCAAACATGCAGCTACTGACTTCCAGGCTAACTCAATGGAAGAATATAGGATGTAACTGGGACACCTTAGACATTAATAACAACAAAATGCTGCGGTCTACTTTAAGGCAAGTTTAAGACAAGGTATGCTAGGGATTGATGAGATAAAAATACTAGCCTAAACTGAACAAATTGTATTTTTTGAAGAGATGGGGAAGAGGAAAAATATTCCCAATAGTGAAACATGCACACACCCATATCTACTCACAGGTGCACAGTGAATAGGCATGATTAAGACTGGTGCAAGCACACTGTTTTTACATCATGTTGATTTGACTAATAGCGCCTTTTAAAAACACTTTTCCCTGGGAACATCATTTCAAAATTGCAATAAAATAATTATTAAGAAGGCTGCTCTGAAGCTTTCTGGTCACAGCCAGTTTCAATTTAGCCTACAACTGAAAATCTTGCTTGGCAACAGATGTTTAACATAGAAAGAACTAGTAAACTCATTTCACTTTCTAATCCTCTAGGTAGCTATGGATAACTGAGATATATATATATATATATATATAAACACACAATTGTTCTTCACATTGTAAGTCCTACATTTATATTCCAATATTTTTAAAGAATCCAGCAGTATTTCAAAGAGGACTTTACATAAATACTAAATAAAATAAAACGCTTAGGCTCTTCCCATTATTATAAATCCTAATGACACATTGGATAGGGATAACTTCTCTGATGTTTACATTATATCCTGACCTAGTACTTAATCATCACTACAGCACCAACAATGTGAGTTAAAAAACTAAATCATATCAATCACAGTGTTATGAATGGAGGATTACTAAGAGTTTTATCAAACAAAATTTTACAACACAAAACACTCTTTGGTGAAACAAAAAGGCATGCACAATCATAAAATGAGTGGAAAAGGCAGTGACCATGACAAAGGACTACACGCATCTCTGTGTCAATCTAGACATGTTCCTGATTCGGGACCTGTCCCACTAGAGTATTTGTTAAATTACCAGGTCCCTCAATGTTGGCAATGTAACTCAATCACTCAGAACTATTTCATATAGCCTTTCAGAGGTGGCCTTTCATCAGCTGCAAACCAAGCCATGTACCGTTAAGCAGAAAACACATAGAAGTTAGAGGGTTTTATCAATGTGATTAAAAACCATGTAAACCCTCAAAGGATTCAATTTCTGATAACGATAAAGTCTAGCTGTCTCAGAAGGTACCTGCTAGGACAGATATTTATGCGTGCCAGCACAACAAGTGGACTTCTTACTTGTGATCACATTTGAGGAAACTTGCATTGGCTATTTGAAACAGCACAGCATGGGATAGTCCCATTGAGGTACACATGCATTTTAAAAACATTATGCAACATAATTGAATGCCCACCTTGAATTTGTGATAACACTTAATCAGCCGTCTTATAAAACAGCACATGAAACATCAATGCGCTGCAAAGAACAGGCTGTAACAGTATTAACTTGTTCAAATGATTAGTATGTTGTCTTCCTCAACAAACTATGGCACATCTTGTATCAAAAGCTAAGATACATGTTTGCTCTACAACACCAGCAAGTTGAGATAATCAAGCACAAAAATTAAGTCAAAAAGAGCAAGCAAAAGCAAAATTCTAAAGCCTAACTGATCAAATTGGCAACCATCTCCCCCTCCCCTCCACCAAACACGCATTCTCTAAAACAAAATATCTTCAATTTCCAACTTTTAAAGAATCAGTCAATTTTCTGGATATCACCTCCTGTACCATCTGACTAAATACTGGGCCTGATTTTTGTTGATCAGCATTGCAGCCTATCTGCATTCCCTTCACTTCAAGCCACACCTCATCCAAAGCCATAGCAATACGTCCATCTATAAAGAGGGACAGCCAATCACACTTCAGAACCCCTCAGTATAATCCCAGCCACTTCCTGCCAGACAAGACAAACCTGGTTTGAAAGTGGTAAATCCTGTCTTATTTATTTGCAATGTGTTAAATGTGCCACGTAGTGAAAATGTGTCAATGTACAACACACACACAAACACACTCTCTTCATTCCCTTTTCTCTGTGTGACCTTAAAGTCAGTGAGGAAGGCATTTTATTCTGCAGCCTGCCCAGCATTCCAAAATTGTGGTCTCTCTTTTGTCCTCTTATCACCATTCTCCCCTTGGATCTCGTGCTCTCTCCCATCTGTATGCTTGCCTTGTGTCTTTGATGTCACTTTGACCTCCCCTCCCTCTTCAGTCTCTTGTCCTTCATGTCCCCGTTTCCCCCTCAATCTTACGTTCTCACAGCCGACAGAGGCAGAAGAGTGTAGGGATGAACACACCGAACGCCACCAGGATAGGGAACATGAGGCTGCTATTGTCAGCCGCGTACGGGTTTGGTGTTCTGGGGCCCGACTGGACCTTGTACTTGGGAACTGTTGAGGTACTCTTCTTACCACCCTCTTCTCCTGCCTCAGTCTCCTCTTCCTCCTCCTCTTCAAGTTCTTCACGTTTCTCCAGTCCAGGGTGAGGCTGGAGTTTTGGTACATCTGAGATGCAGAAAGAATAGAGAGGGGTGAGATTATGGATTTAAAGATAGGGTTAAGTGAAAATAGAAATGTAATAAAAAAAGAATTAGTAATACAGAACTTGAGGAGAGGTTGTGATGTCTTTAGACTGGATTGTGCATACAATTAATTGATTCAGCAGCAAATGATTTTTTTTTTTGAAAAAGAAAGTGATAAAAAAGGAGCAATTATTTTGTAATAGAACATGCCATTACAATTCTTCAAACATTTCAGAATTATAAAGACAACATCTTAGAAAATGCTATTTTTGACTGGTACTGTTGAATATTCTACTGTTAATAGACTGAGGCTCACCGTCTAATGTCCCCTTCATCACGTACAGAGCACAGACCTTGGGGTTGTCGTAATAACCCTGAGAAAACACAGCAGGTTATCAGTTCATAGCAGAGAAAGCCACACGGCAAATGAAAATGCTGAAAAACACTATCCTACCATTATTTGTAAAAATAAATATTACTGGCATAGGAAATACCATAAACAAACACACATTCAGAGTTGTGTGTAGGTCAATTTTGTGCTTGACTGTTTAATTTGAGGAAAAAACGTTGTGCACTGACACACTTCAACTCACCTTGACAAAGTCCACAGTGAGCTTGCCGTTGAAGGTGGACACCTCCCCCTGGACACTCAGCTTACCGCGGCGTATTGAGAAGGGCACTATTTCGTCATGAGCTGTACTGTGACCCACCCGCTCAAAGATATCCAGATCTTTCACCACCACGTGGTCATTAAGACGCACGTCAAATACCTGTAGAAAGGACAATTTCAGTCAGCTAGATTTGCAACATGAAAATAGCATGGGAAATCCTCAGTCCAAAGTGTACAAGTTTGTAAGAAGTATTTATAGATTACTAATAAATCATTACCTTGCAATAAAACATCTGTTGGACATTTTATTTTATTTTGAGACTATCAACATCATCTAAGTTGAACAACAATCTTTGCTGCCAAATTAGAATAACATTAACATGATTTACAGGAGTGATAACTTTGAGATCTAAACAGAAAACATATTTTGATGATTTGATGTCTGAGTCGTACCTTCTGCTGAGACTGGGCAAAGTAGACCTCTGCATACTTCATGACTAGTATATAGTCTCCTTCCTCACGAATCGGCACCTCATAGCCAAAAGTATCCTCATTGTAGCGTTCTGTCTGGTAGAGAACCTGGTCTTCAGGACTAGAGCGCAATATGGGCAGACGGACTCCATAATCTGAAGCTAGAGGGAAATACAAAGAGTAGAGATTGTTCACTACGTTGTCGATTTATAAGCAATTCAGTCACATTTTCACCCAACACACTTCTCACATAAGCTTACACAATACAAATCCATTTGCTTACACATGTACTGGAACAGTATAGTGATGCCTGCATACATTTACTTTTTTTTTTACTGTATTTGCACACAAACAAGGCAAATAGTGCATGCATTTTTATGGCTGATAAGGTCCTTTTAAAATTTGAGATGCAAACTTGCTGGCTAACCATGGCTTGGCATTTTCAAATATTCATGACTTATCTGTTCTGGCATGTGAGCGGCGATGGCTTAGCGGCAGGGAGCCTAGCAGTTTTTGAAACATGGGACAAACACTTTACATGTTGCGTTTATATTTTTGTTCAGTATTTTTCAAGACAGACTCATTTGGTCTTTAGTTTTAGAGTGGATGTAAGAAACAATCTGAAATGCCGCTACAGAGTGAAGTGTTTTTTTATCAATGAACAGATGAACATGCCGTGGAACTAAGCAAAGTGGCTATCATACAACATCAAATAGGAAGTTTAATCAATGTATCCTTTACCTCATACTTTACTTTTAATTAACTGCTCATGTTATTGGTTTCCAATTATTGCTTTTAAATAAATACTTTTCTGAATATCATTAGTCATCACAGTTGGGTTAATTATTCTTCCATGAGGTGCTTCATTTTCGAGGCAGGCACTAGAAACTAATGCTGACTCTTCATTTGGTTAACTAGGTTCAATTGCGGAAGTCAAACACATGCATGAATTGATTAGCTTGAAATATCTTCTTTATGGGAAATACAAATCTGCAATCACACAATTACCCTCTGCCAGAAGAAAATATTTTAGCCAAATAGCTCAAATTGTGGCTCATTTCACACAGATCTAACGTGTAGCTGGCTAGTTAGCTTTCAATTCAATTTAGCAGTCACATTTGCAATAGGAAACTGTGTCATGTATCATACAAAGTTACCGAGGTTAGCTAGGAAGCTAATAGGGAAATTACGATCCAGCCATGCCTACACAGACTCACCTTTCCCAAGCTTTCCTTCCAATGGATCCTTCTTAAAATGAATGCCATGCATGTCTGTGTGAGCTTCCCCGCCAGCGTTCACTGCCCAAATAACTCGTTCAGCAAGGTTTGGGCCCCCACCATCCGCCCAACAGTGTTCAGCCAGCAGCGACAACACCGCCACGACCAGCCCGATGACCAATGGGACTGTTACCCGCCGCATTGCCATACACAGCTTGGTACAAGCAGACACACACCAGTTGGCCCAAGGAAGCTGTGTGAGAGAAGGCATCAATAGTAGCTAGCTAGATAGCATAAATGACAGCACAAAACCCTCCCACCCCCTCCACAGATAAGGTAGTCAAATATATTCAGCTAGCTAGCATGTTCGCTATCTAGCTAAGATGAACTATGATTATGAATATGTTGCAGCTGGCAAACGTTCGCTAACTAGAATGTACGGTCAACACAGCTTACTCTAAATAAAATGTAACATTGACTCGTTGGCCTTTACTACATCTAGCTAGCTACAGTACCTGTCTAGCCTGTTAGCTATCTCAGCTTGCTAACTGACTTCCTCTAACTCTCATCAACGCTCTCAGCAGCTGTAGCTTGCGGAATATGAGGTTCTTACATTGAAAAATCCTTGGTGCAAGTTGCTTCTATGTCTGTTTCCTGCTAAATGTAAAACCGAATAGTCCACAATCTACACTGAGGCTCTCATTGACAGTAATGACGGTTTAGTCTTCTCTGCCAAATTGGTATGACAGACGTTGATTTCCATAGAGCCACACACATTGCATGAAGGCTGAAGCGAGAGAAAGAGTGAGTGAACGAACATGCTGGTTCACTGTACAGGAAGTGGATGACTGAATAGACACCCAATCACATGGCATTATTGAAGTATTTCTACATATGTATTGCAATTTTAGCATATTCATAGAAATGCATTGGATTCACGAATCACATACAGTTCCCTACAACCTCTCTATATATTAACTTTCACCTCATTTACCAATGAGAGGGTCAAAGTTGATACATTGGCGATGCAAAAGAGACCGAGCTGAGGTTTGGTTGAGGTGCAACGTTGTTCAGTTGGCAAAATGCGGAAGTTACACACAATTACACCTAATGGGAGTTATTCGTGATTTTATTAATTGTGTTGTTCGAAAATAACATTTAGAATACATAGATATAATATATAGATAAGACTTTCAATAAAAACACGTTTGCAGTCCAAATCTGCATATGTATTTTGTGCAAACTTGAATGACGGTAGTGCTCCTGTAAATCGCTCTGGTTAAGAGTGTCTACTACATGGCAAACGTTTAAATTGAAATTAAAGTGATACATTTCACCAGATTCCCATAATCACAAAAACGGTAGAAGGAAATAGCCATGTTCCAGGTCCTATTTATTGTAGTTGACTGCGTAGATTATCAGCTCTCACAATGCTATGAGAAGTGTTTAACTTCTTGAGAACCCCATTAATATGATACGAAGGTTGCTGTATAAAGCAATGTGGCTCCCGATAAATGTAAAACACTTTCTCAGGCATTTTGGGATCTGATAATCGGCGCAGCGCTACTACAATTAAAAATAACCTGGAACGCAACCGATGTCTGAAATCTTGTCCAATCAGAAGAGTCCAACGCAGCGCACTTGCAGTGCACTCTGGGTTTGTCAAAAAAGGCCAGTGCTATTTCGGATCCTTGGGACGTACATACCGCCCTTTTAAGTTGACATTTCAATTGGTTAGGTAAGGGTTATGCAGGGCTCTCCAACCCTCGTCCTGGAGAGCTACCGTCCTGTAGGTTTTCACTACACTACATCTACAGGATAGCTCTCCAGGAGCAGGGTTGGAGAGCCCTGGGTTATGGTTAAGGTTAGGGTAAAGGTACGGGTTAGGGTAGGGACGTTCCAAGGATGCCGGATAGCACTGACCTTGTCAGAAATGACGAACAAACAACGTTGCCATAGTAACACTTGACGCTTAGATTTCATGATGGCTCTGGTGTCATGTAAAAATCTTCCCAGGGTGAAATAGTTCCCAATCGTTCTGATTGTGTTGTGATTAGAACGGTCTGGCACAGATGAAAGGGGAAAAGGGTGTTCATTAAAGGCCCACCTCAGAGGAAGTTGCCAAACCAACTGTATTTCGAATAATTCCTGTCTTAGAGCGAAAATTCTCGTTTAGGTTCCACCTCGAAGACTGAGGAAGGCTTCTAATACATCTTCAGGAATTGGTGGTGGGACCGTTGTGGTGATTTCCACGTGTAGCAGAGAAATAACAACAAATAGGGAACTGACTGTCAGTGTAACTAGCTAGCATGCTAATAACCTTAGCCAGCTAATGAAAGTTACAGTATGTGAGCAACATTTCAGTTAAAACAGGGGAAAATAATTATTTCAGAAAAAGACTACCAGCCTACCTGTCAAGAGATGAGTGAAAACCGTGCCTATTCCAGCTGTTGACATGTTGAGGGTTGACTCTTGCCATTTGATAATTCCAGTGCTGCAACCTGGACTCAGGGGTAGACATAACATAGTAAAAATAAATCCGAGACTCCCCAATTAGTATCATATGTTACGTTTCATATGGTATGTATTAATTGCAATTCGGATAATATGTTACACATGTGCAAAACGTATGATGTTACGAATTCCAATTTGTTGTGGCTAATGTTAGCTAGGTGGCTAACGTTAGCTGGGTTAAGGTTAGGGTTAGGAGTTATGTTAAGGTTAGGGTTAGGTAACATGCTAAGTAGTTGCAAAGTAGCTCAAAAGTAGTAAGTAGTTGCACAGTTGCTAATGAGCTAAAATGCTAAAGTTGTTTGTGATGCGATTCGAACACGCAACCTTGCGTTTGGAGAATTGATAAGACACTGCAGTAAATACAACTTAATAAAAACGTGTCAGTCTTGTCCAGAACCAGACTCTACACAAACCAGTGCGCCATAGCCAATCAGAGCTACAGTAGGCCTATATACAAATAAGCCATTTGCCACACGGACCTGCCATCATTCACTTTGAACTGGACTTTGTGTTTACAGGCAGTAGCAAAAGCGTGACTTTAGATCATTAGAATGCATTTGCCAGATTCCATAAAATACAGCTGAATGGATTTCTACAAATATGTAAATACCACAGGAGTCATCTTACATTTGGGAACTTTACAGTTCTATTGATCAAAGAACCATGAACAGGTAGGCTCTCTCTCCCTCAGTTGCCTGTGCACATCAACAACAACAAGATCAACAACTAATGTTAGCCAGAGCGAGATTAGCTCAAATCTAATGAGGGAACAGTAGATAAACCCTCTCAAACTTTTTTATTGTAGTTGGCCGTCAAAATTGCACACTGATAAACGATGCGGAATAGTAGCCTGCGAACCCCTTCTGCTTGTCCGAACCCACGTTTTGACAACTGAATGGGAACTTGTCTGCCTGCCCTTCCATTTGATCGATGACAAGTACAATTCATTGACAACTAAGAGATATGCTAACTGTGAATAACAGTCGTTCAAGCTCAGCATAGCTAGCTAGCAAAGTGATTAACATTTCTTGCTAGCTAACCAAATGATAATTGCATCTCTAGCTGTAGCCATCGAAAAACGAAATGGAGGAAAAAGTTGGCCACTCACCGACTTGTCCAATGACATGACATCCTCCCAGCAGCTCGCTAGCTAACATTATGTTAGGCTATGTGTTTTAGCTTGCTAAATAAATAGCTACATAAATAGATAAGCTAGCCTATTAGCCACATTATGACTGACTTGTGGTCATTGCCCCAGCTAGTTTGATTGTATTGACATTCCCAGCCTTAGTTACATTTGTCCGTTTTTTGCCAAAACATTGAGTCATTGAATCTGAAACAATGCATCCCGAAGTGCTGAAGGCAGCAAACAATGTACCAGGGCCCGGTTTCCCAAAAGCATCTTAAGGCTACTTTCATCGTTAGAACCTTTGTAGGAGCATTGTTAAATCTCAGAGCGGTTTCCCAAAACCATTGTTACTAAAGTTGCTCTTGAAAACGCACGTTATTTAACGACTGCCTCAGACCAGCAAAGTAGCCTACTTTGTTGCATGCTTTTTTGCCCTTTCGTATCACTTTATACACAGAAGATCTCTGCTGAACACAAAATCAAGATGTTTATTAGTCTTTCTGTGACCGCCAATAACTTCAGAACAAGTGTGACAGTGACTACAAATACAAAGTTGACAGTTTCTTTGCATAACAAGAGAAGGATATAAAGACACTTCAAATGAAAACCGAGATGACTGTATTAACAGATAAATACAGGATAGGCTACATAGACTTATATATTTGAATGATATTTAAATACATTTAATGTTAACTCAATTGAGTTTTATTTAGCTATTTGTACACTACTGTCTGTAATTTTTGCTTCAATTTATTTCATGATGTGTAACATGTGCGCAATGATGTGCCAAATCTTGATTTAGTACATTATTATAGGGTAAGCATTAGAATAAGCCGCCTCAATATTTGTAGCCATAGGTGATAATATCTCTCTAGGAGCTGATCTGTCGTCAGTATTGTGGAATAATTCTAATTTTAAGGTAAGATTGGAAAGGGAGAATGCTGATCCGAGAGCAGTGCTTCCTTTCTTTCGATCCTATCAGTATTGACACATGCCTCAACGATGCACTTAACGAACATTCTCTCTGCGTGGTGTTCTGGGAAAGGCATGTTACATCTACGGCCGTTGTAGGAAAGATGCATCGTTTTAACACTCATAAGCCTAAATTCCATCACTATCGGGAAACTGGGCCCTGGCCAGCTGTGTTTTACAACCGTGATAGCAATATTTGTTGGACTACCAAGAAAAGTATTGGTGAAATCGCTATATTAATCATGCATTTTAACTCCATCTATTCTGCTAAAATTGCCTTACTCTATGTCATGGAATTTTGAGTCAACTACAACATATTTTTAAAAACCTCTTATAAAGTTGGTTTTGTAGCATAAACTGGGATTTTTACATTTTTGACTGATATTATGATTGTCTGTTTGTTTCATATCTGCAAAGTAGTTAAAATACTGTCAGTTCCACTTTAAGTAACCTTCTGTCTTATGTAACCATACCAAACATGACATATACAAATTTCAGTGTCCCGATTTACATTTACTATATTATGTTTAGTGTATGAGACCAGGCTGTGTGAAATAATGTCTGATTCCAGATATCATTCATATTTGGTCATGCACATGGACATGATCAAATAGCTATATTCTGTTATCATTTCAGCAAGCTAGCTAGCTAAGCTTTCCCAAAAGTAAATTCAATTAAATTGCCAAAATTATATAGCCTAATTAGCTTACTCCTGTCTATACAGAAATAAATCAGTGATTCAAAATAGTCTACTATACCAGAATTGTTTTATATCGCATAGCCTACAGTAGGAAGGGCCCGCAATTTGGGCAGCGCGCTGCATATACCAAATAGATGATTGTTGAGTTGCGACTGTCACTGAAAAGCAGAGCGACCCAGCCAGTCAAATCGCAATATTTAAAAATACAATCGCGGAAAAACTGTTTGGAAAGCAAATGGCTATTGCTGTAAAGAGATGACAATGAAAATACTCCAATCTGTCATTTAATTACTTAATTGAGTGAACAGTAGCCTATCTTATTGGCACCAGCTGAGAACATCGGCCATATCCCGGGTGAGTGTGCATATTCACTGTCTTTATCATTGGGTCAGTGCCACTTTCGTTTGTTTTTGGACCACCTCCAGGTTAGATGGACGTCAACGTATTAGTGTCTCCCCTTTTCGTAGCCGCATTATATGGATCAGACAACATCGTTTTTATTGATATTTTTGTCAGTGTCAACAGAGTAGGCTACCCTGTAATTTTTGTAATAGGCCTATTAAAAAAA